GCCACATGGTGGTGCAAGGAATGGCAAAAAAATGAAAATTAACAAAAATCCCCTGCATTTTCCTCGACACACTTTCCGCCTCCCGGGAAATGTTCCAAAGTCCGGACCAACGGAGACGCTGTATCGCGTTTTGTCGCGAAGGGAGATTTACCAGAAAGGAAGGGGAGAACTCCAGAGGAGGGGAAAATCCAGTCGCGAGAGATTTAGCTTTAGAGGGGGTGAGCGTTGGTTTTCGATCGACCTCCGGGCGAAACAGTGCGAAAAGCACTACGTCAGCCGCCGAGAGAGCGCGAATTCCATGGAGCTCGGCGCGAAACTGGAGCAAACGGAAGAATCGGACCAATCGGCCCGTCCACGGGAACTTTGAAAACACTTGGCAGCCCTCCACGAGGGGCGGATGTGTGCCATGGCATAGATGGTCCGGCTCTCCCTCGTAAACTGGGTCCGGTCCGGTCGAAGCGCTGCGATGAAGAGGAGCGGACTTCGCGTATACCCATTTCCATCGTGCACTCGATACGGCCAGATTAAATTGTGGAGGAGAAAGCAGTAGATATTTATCTGTAGAAATTATGAGGGGGGGGGGGACACAATTTACGATGTCCTTCGATTATCCCAGATCGTTATGAGTTCTGAGACATTAATACATACATTCGAGCCAATATCCCATATGCCGTCAACTCATTCTAACAGATTTCTTTTCATGCCAAGAAAATAGCGATATAACGTGAAATCTGCAAATATTAACCTCCTGATGTTGACTATTTTTGTTTTACAATTCCTATGCAAATTCCTTGGTTACAAGGGAGGGGTACTAGGATAAGGGGTTACATTAGGTTTTGTCGGAAAAATCAAGGTAATCGATCGAATGAAAAAAAAATATCGATGTATGGGCACGTGAATTCAAAGTCATATGTGTTATAAAGAATTAAAGTTTTCGCGACTGGTAACGTAGACTCGCGTAATTTCAAGACTTGTACCCGAGGACCGTCAACGTAGTCCTACGTCGTTTCAAAAACCGTGGCCTCCGGTTCTAGATGTTTAAAAATTGTACACAGATTTCTGGGACACGGTAAAATCGCCCCCTGCGCTTGCGTAAAGATACTCCACGTCGTTCGCGCAGATATGCGTATGCCGGCGTTTGTGATTTGGCGCGGGACTCTACCGTGTTTTCTGGTCGCGCACTTAACATTTCTTCGCATTCGGCGACGCTTATCTTCAAGTTTTCCCGAGAACTTTCTCCCGAATTTTCGAGGCCGACTGTACGCACTTTGCACCCCCCCGACGAGGGAATGCACACTTTCGCATTTAGCGAGGAGAATGGAGAGAGAAAGAGACTCGAACATTTAGGACCGTTCGTTCCTCAGGGTTGAAAGAGAGTCGTTATCTTCGCGGAGATCCTCGCCGGGGATGAATCCTCCCCCCGAAATATCGGGATTACACGACAAGACGCGATAAATGGAGAGACAAATCGAGCTCTCTCTTCTTCTTCCTAATTATTTTTAATTCATAACCTGATTCATCACTTGACGGTGCCCAGCATTAAATCCACGCTCGGGCGGAGAACTCGATGCATATTTTCGTGTCTGCCTCGCCCATATGGAGGTACTCTCTCGGGTAAATAAAAATAGTCTCGTTCTCAATCTCGCCCCCTCGAATCCGCCTCGAGGGGCGAGCGAGCGGCTAGACGCGCATCCTTATAAACGCAGATATCGCCGCGCGATTACGTTCTAATTTCACTTTACCTTTGCCAAGGCTCTCAATTACGCTAATCGAGAGTCCCGGCCGCCAAGCCAAGTGTTCCCGGGAAATGTACCGAGCGTAACGAGGGATTCTCTTCCGGCCTTTTTTTTTTTTAAACCAACTTTATCACGCGTAACAAGTCGCGGTGTACCCTCGTGGGGGAGATTTCTCTTTACGATCGTTGAACGAATTTTCTTCGAGCGATCGGAGAACTCGACATTTCAGCGGGTTCTCCCCTCGCTCGTTACATAAACGTTGCTTACATAATCCTATCGCGCGATTCGGTGTAACGATAAAGAAAATTAGCAGGAGTGCGCGCGACGAGCGATAACGAGGGCGCCCCGAATTTGTATTGTTTCGCGCAAATCGAGCTACTGGTATCGAACCCGAGGAGGAGGAAAAGTGTTGTATATGCTTCTATGCCAAAACGATGGTAATACGAGGTCTCGGAGAGAAAATTTAATTGACCTGGAAATCACAGATGGCGCAGGGGTCTCTCTGCAGTCAATTAGGGCCCCAGAAAGCATGAATCCAGAGGATTTCTAGTTTTACTTCGATTTCTTGATAATTATTGTACGAAAACGACAGGTGGAGTATGCCATTTAGTACAATACCCAATATAATTCTGTACAGCTGTCGATATAAAAACGAACGTCAGCAACGTAGACATTTAGAAAAATTTTCTTTATCAACGTTGATCAAGTTAATCGACGTGTTTCACTTCACCTTAACTCTAGACAGACATTTCCAACAGATAGGCATCTGTAACTTTTAACCTCTTATTTTTCTCCGTGCAGAATGGAAGCCCTCCGAGAAGACAGGCACGTGGCGTGGCGATGACAAGTCTGATCTTGGAGAACGCGGACTTGAACCGACTTTTCCCGAAATGCCGGCCTAGAGGTGGTCCACCCCCGGCCCCGGAGGGCTCGACGCAGGCGGGCCAGCCGCATGACCACCTCTGTCCGACGCAGGCCGTCTCCGTCAGCTCCAACGCGGGCGGCGCCGGCGACAGCGACGCCGCCTCCGCTACCTCCGCCGTCTCCGCCACCTGCGCTACCGACGCTACCGACCTCGCTATGATCGACCTCGAGCGGGACTCCGCCGCCGACAGGCAAGTCTTTCTTCTTTCGAGAACCTTCTCGCGCGATGACTTCTTCTATCAATAGAGATACAAAGGGATGGAGCGTGATCGGAGCGCGACTCAAAGGATGTACCACGGTTTCAAAGCGTACCTAATAGTTAAGGTTATGTGAAAGTGGCGTCAAAGAGGTCTCACGAAACTTTTCTCCGAACAGAATGTACCGATTAGTTTCAAACTTTACAACGTGAATATGGAGGCTATAAAGAAGGTCCCGACCCCCATGGAATTTCAATTCTTTTAAATTTCGTTTATAGACAGTTTTTACATTTTTTTTTTTTTTTTTTCATAAGAAGTGAAACTTTATGGGTGGAGAGACCTTCCTTACGGCCTCCGTATTCACGTTGTAAAGTTTCAAACGATTCGGTACACCCTGTTCGCAGAAAAGCTTCGTGAATGACTTCTTAGATGCTACTTTCGTATCCCTGTAAGGGTAGGACGAGTCAAAAATAAGACTTTTGTGGGAGCACATCTCTTTCGATGGAGCGAGACGTAGAGCGAACGAGTGGCGGCCATCTTGGTATTCTCTCATCTGGGGTTTAAACAATTTTAAGTTCGTGTTAGCTGCCCTCTGTATTTCTTATGTCAGTAAAAGCAATGTACGACGTGATTTCATGGTCTTTGTAGTATTTGGTACATCGATCTAAGTTTAGATACGCCATACCTTTCTTACTGGATCCATGACTTCTCCGATGAAATTGCCAATTCATTAGCGCCAAACGGATGTTCGAACGTGGGGCCATTTAGAAGTATTCGCTGCGACTTTTCGGCGCCCGAACTTTAGACATTCGTTTCAACGAACAGGAAACGTCAGACCGGTATCGACGCTCCAACCCCTTTTACGAAGAGATTGACCCACGGGCGTCAGCAAGATAATAAGACTACGTAATACTCGGTTTCAGTGTCGAGTTGACGCTAATGAAAAGGTGCCTTGAGAATCTCCTTTGCTAACGAAAACGCGGAATACTTGGGACTCGAGCGGCCATTGGCTGCGCACTAGTCACGTGCGCATGCCGCAGCGATGCGCGCCATCTTTTGAATTGTCCAACCGTCCGCGCGAATATGAATAAACCGTGAATATGAATAGCGCGCATTGAGGAACTACTCGAAGCCCATGTATTTAGTACATATCGCATGTATCCGACACGTCCCACGTACTACGGCCTACTCGCGAGCCAGGAACATCGCTGTAAAGGCGATTTGACGTGTTTGATATATTGTCCGGGTATCGATGTCCAATCGTAGTATCCGCGGCGGCCAAGGGTCGCGCGAGGCACCAACCGATCGGGGAACTACTCGATTGTGCCCGCTTGGAAAATGGCCAACCCGTGCATACGTTAGCTCTAAGTGCAACAGCATTTCCTCGAGCTGGGGGACGATTCGACGAGGGCTCCTCCGGATGAAGGGCACTCTCGAGCGCCCCGCTCGGGGCACGGGGAAAGACAGAACTAATAGAGAAAGGCATTGACTAATGGGAGCGTTTCCGATACTGAAAGAAACGCTCGAAATGCCGGGAAGTTCGGGAATCCGGGCCGAGGGAGGAGAACCCCTTGCATTCCCGAACCTCGAACTCTCGAGTCCTCGGGGAGAGAGAGAAAGCCCTCCGACAAAAGCACTTCCCGATCCAATAACGTTCACAAGGTCGCATTCGTCGCGAGTTTCCTTATTTCTGCAAAATTCAATGGCCCCCGAGTTTTCGGTCCGGGAACTTTTATCCGCGCGGAGTAATCCACGGAGACGTCAAGTCGGGAGAGGAAAAAAGTAGTCCCCCCTCGCGGTACGTTAATGCCGCCGACGTAGCCCCTCCCCGACTCGTTCGAATTGGCGTTCCAATTTTCGCCGAGTTCCACGGCACTCCGATCCGAGGAAAATATCGACCACGTGACGTCACGAGCCATTACCTATTTGGCGCGGCGCACCGCCATCGCTCTCGTCTCTGCGAGCGAAAACTCCGCTGTCGGTTCCGGGTGAAAAACAGTCCCGATTCGTTTCATCCCAGGATGGGTCGCACTCATGGTGCGTATAGGTTAGGTTAGATCCGCTCCAGCGGGAAATATCGGGAAAAAAAAGCTACGCCTGGGGCAGTCTTTGATGACCCTTTGGTCGGAAAGAGCAAGAGATAATGCCCAAACGGCATTTCTTCGCCGTTCCCAGAGGTTATGACAGTATAAGAGGGGTCTTCGCGAATAAAGACGGCTTGAACGTCCCTAAGTACGATCGTTTCCTTTCGAATTCTCGAAAAGTAGAATCCGTGCTCAAAGGCCACCCGCGTTGGAACCGAAACCTTTAAATCGAAGGAAGACAAGGGAAAAGAGGAATCACGGGGTGATCGCGTAATGAAAAGAAGGAAATTAATTAGATGGAAATTATATTTACAGCTCGAAGTCTCTACGTTTTCGGTAAAATCTAGAAATTTCTTTTTAGAATGAGCGTTTCACTTTTCGTTAAGTCCGTGTTGGTTTGAGTGTTTGTATGTATGTGTTGGTATGAGCGTTTCACTTTGCGTTGCGCCCGTCGGTTCGTAACGTGCGAACTTACGAGGTTTATAAGAGGTTTCAAAGAAAAGTGAGAGAAAAAAAAGAAACGAACAGGTCTCCCTAGGCCTATCGATTTTCACCCTGACTCCGACTGCGTTGCAGCTCGTTAAGGGGATGTGGAAGCGGCATCCGAAAGCTCAATTGTTCATGAAACTTTTCTACGAACTGGGTTTCTCAAATCGTTTCATACTTTAAAACGTGAATATGGAGACCCTAAGGTAGGTCCTGAAACTCGCGAAAATTTCATTCTTTATAAAGTATTTTTAAAATACCTATAAACAAATTAGAAAGGAATTGAAATTTCATGAGTTTCAGGACCTTCCTTATAGTCTCCTTATTCACGCTGTAAAGTTTCAAACTATTCTGTAAACCGAGTTGGGAGAGAAAAGTTTTATAAACAAAACCTCTTCGACGCCACTTTCACATCACCTTAAAAGTTCCAAGTTACATCCGTAGGTGTAGAAAGCGAGCGAATGGCAGGAAAGAATCAGGTTCGCTGTCCGCGTTGGTTTGAGCATTTGTACGTATGTGTTGGTATGAGCGTTTCACTTTTCGTTACACCCGCCGGTTCGTAACGTGCGAGCTTACGAGGTTTCAAAGAAAAATGAGAGAGAAAAAAAAAAGGAATGAACAGGTCTCCCTAGGCCTATCGATTCTCACCCTGACTCCGACTGCGCTGCAGCCTGTTAAAAGTTCCAAGTTACATCCGTAGGTGTAGAAAGCGAGCGAATGGCAGGAAAAAATCAGGTTCGCTGTCCCGTAGGACGGCGAGCGCGGTCTCAGGGTTCGCCCCCGAGGGCCAGCTTCCGAGCGCCGCGAAGCCGCCGTCCTCGAGCTCCTCCTCGGCCTCGGGGCGCAGCGAGGATGCCCCGAATTATGGCAGCCTGGCCGGCAGCGACCACGTCGCCCAGTCCCAGCAGGACGACAGCGGCCCCGACGAGAGCCCCGTCTACATACTCACGTCCGCCAAGGGCGACCGCAGCTACAAGCTGCGCGACTCTAGGTAAGAAGCCTCTCCACCGCCATGGAGATATAAAATAAAATGGCTGACTGAATTTTCTCACGTTTCGCCGGAGTTGCGCCCTGGCTCTCCCTTCGCTCTTTTTCCCGATAAATCTAGTTTAAATCTATTTTCCACGTGCCTCCACTGGCTCGGTACGAGGGGCTTGCTCTTCCGGTTAGTTGACGCCAGGGTGAATCGACTGGCCCTTACAGGCACCGAGGTGGCGGCAACTTTCCAAGGGACGGCCAAATATCGGATGACACGCGCCGGATTAAGCGCTCCAAGGTGTAAAGGTGGCTACACACGTGAGGATGGATCGTACACTGTTAAAAAAAAAAGTATCATAATTTTGTAACATTTTTGTTGAAAGTTTTATTCGGACATGGTATACCAATTTTGTAACATATTTTCAAATAAAATGTATAACATATATTATGAGTTTAGTATATATGTGTAAGAAATTTATAATATATGTTATAAATTTGTGTTGATTGGTACTTGATGTTAAACGTCTTTTCTGCAAACAAGCAAATTTGACATATGATTCGGGCACGTTCGAGGACGATTTTAGAGACAGACCTATCTTAAACGCCGAAAAAAATCATTTTGCATTTATCGTGGTATCAAACCCGGAACTCTCGGAAACGTAGTAGTTACGTTGTCCATGATGCTAGCGGGGTTTTCTATTGATTGTAAGAATTTCTTTTAATATTATTTAANTAATAAATGTATACCAATTCACCATTAAAACGTCCAATTCATCATTTTACTGCAACCTTATGTACTAAAAGTGTATGAATTTTTTTAACAGTGTACAGATTTGCGAGCCGTGTAGCTTCGTCGAGTTTTTCTACACGGTGGAACGAAGTTGGCGGCCATGGCTTATGGAGCGGTGTACTTGTTCAAAATGGAATAGAGAAGTTTTGTACCAGTTTTCTCTACGATGCGTGGTTTATGTAGAATATTTAGTTAAACATTAGCCAACAAGGCGCGCCAATTAATCGAACGCTTATCAGCCGCGCTCTACTTGTTGGATATATGGATTCCGAACACCCAATCACTGGATATTTTTTGATTATACCGAGAATAAAAGGGGGGAAACTAGGGACGAGCTTTTTTTCTCGTTTCCTCTTGCCGTTAGATAGCCTGTCGTCATATTGCTGTTTTGTAAAGTCGGGGGGAAAGAGGGAGGAAGAGAACGTCCCTTGTCTTTTGTTCCCAATGTGGCGGCTTTCACAGTCATATCGGTGTATGGGGTACATTTCTCCTAAGCCCATGGCTCTATTGTTTGCGGCATTGAAGCAAGACAACTTGAAACATGCTCTCCGATTCGCATTTCGCTAATCAGCGCGCCTGATAGACTATTTTCCAATTAATCTTTACGGATAAGTTATGCACCATAGAATGAAAAATAGTACAGGACTTTTCCCACTCCATTTTCTATAAGGATAACGTAGTGACCGCCAGTCTTCTTACATCCTGTATAGCGACCACATGTCAGACGTATTTGTAAAGATCTTTTAACTTAGTTTAATAATTATTTGTTAATCTGGTTGGACTGTTTAGCAGGTTCAACCTGGGTCTTGTCTTCTGAGTGGATCTACAATCATATTCAATAATCATTGTTGTTATTTCTTATCGTAACGTGTGTAGCCATCTTAACGGGAAGTAAATGGTTTGAACTACCGCCTGCTGCTGATCGTTTTATTTTCAGGGAACGGTACAGGCTTCCACCCGCTAAAAGTTGTTACGTACGAGTCCCGCGATACCGTGTTCTTTTTGGAGAACAATTCCTAGAAGCGGTACACGCTCGTGAAACTGCTACCCGTTAATGGTCCCGCCGTAACGTTTGGTTTTGCAACTGCCAAACGAACCTGCGATCTGCAGAATTCTCGTATTGCCGTTTTCCTGTCTACGCCTTGAATCGATCAACCACAATCTCCAGGATATCCAAGCGTCGTTCTATTTTAATCTACCGTGAATTCATTTCGAAAATATCTGTAAAAATCTCAGCAGCTGGTATCGGTTCCAGTGGGACTATATACTTGTTCCCCGCAACAAAACCGCCGAATGATATTGATCTGCCGTGTACGCGCGCACTGTGGCATCTCTTTTCATCCGCAATACCGAAATATTTACGCTCAATTAATTCGCACGAGTTCCATCAGCCGCATTTTCGTAACGGCTCTTTCCCTCTTTGTCGGATTTCACGTCGAATGGCGATTGACGGATCGGCATATCTGCGATGCATTTCGACGTGGATGAAGACTCGACACCTCTGCTCTTTCGAATCTCATAACTTGTGTAATATTCGTGGAATATATTCGCTGGCCGGGATTTAGGCAGTAAATCCTACTATGAATTGCAAGCTTGACATTTATTGAGCCGAGCTGTTAATGTCATCGAAATGTCGCGTTCTTTAGGCCAGTAGCTAAACGTGGCGGCCGAAATTTATGCGCTTACGAGGTCAGGTAACTTTGCGGATGGTTAAGAAAAGTCTATCCAAATTGGGGGATAAACGACAGGTTTATGGAGATTTATCGGGGGTCGCAGAGGCGCGTTCCTTTTAAGAAAGTCGAAAGGCGGAAATGGTCCGGCACAGCAGCGCGGCCACGTGGAAGATCGACGAATCGCCGATGTCCGTTTTCTTACACTTGTTTACCGTATCAAGATTCGATTTTCGTGGTTAGATCTTAGATCAACGTCACGATTCTGACAAGTGGGATTTGATTATTCTTTTTTCGGGAAAGTGGTTACGCGTTTGAATATAAAACGGGAGGATGACTTGTGTAGAAGATGAAAGGCGATTTCAAATTCAAAAGATAAATTAGATATATTAATCGCGATTGTTCTATGCGCCTATTGCACACATATGCTTTCTAGTTGACATGCTTGCTGTCGAATTCCGATGATTTGTTTATGCGTTCAACGATGCTCTTTCTTTACAGCAAGTGGATCTTAGAGGTTAGACGTTGCTTGTTTTGGCGAGCCAGTGTTTCGGTTATAATTAACTCGTCTTATTTTTGACTAGATTTCAATCTCTTCTAGAACGTCTGTGGTAAAGCTGAATTGTTTACTTTCAGAATCATAGAAATTGCTGGAGGGCGAGAAGTCTTTTCCCAAAGTAGAGGCAAAGTTGCTGCTAGAAAACCACGTTTCCTTGCTGCGTCGAATTCCCTAACCAATGACGATAGTTCCGGAGATAACAAACTTACGGTCAAGAAGAGTAACAAATCCCCGAACAGACAGAGTGTTTGGGAATTGCGGAGCAGGTAAGCGGTCATGTTAGACTAGAAGGGTAGCGAGCGATAGAAGAAATTTATTTTGCATATTGCATCGTTTCAGATGTGGGGAAGCAAGAAGACAACGTGCTAATCGTGAAGTAACAGAAACAGTATTTTCATCGGAGGTGCATTCTGTTCGCCGTAACCCGGGAAAGTCTATTCTTGAATATGATTCTCCTAAGAGCAATCGAAGCAATCGCATAAACAACTATAATTCAATCTTAAATAGCAATAATGTAGAGTATAACGTGCCGAAAAGTATTACCGATTTGAATTATGGGCTACCAAAGAACTGTGTAGATTATCAATCGAATCACACAACCCCTGCTCGAAGTATGGCGATTGTTAGCGATGGTGAAGTAGTCGTTTTTGACGATATTGATGATAATTGGCAAGGATTAAGGCTAGATTTGGCCTCGACTGATGCTAACCAAGTTACTACGAGTGGCTTGGACCTAGAGACTGATGAACTACAACGAGGTCGAATACCGCCAGAGCCTCCCAGTTCTAGCATCGGTAGCACACCTAGTCCTACGGCAGGTTATCGTCGAAATACTTCTGACTTCTTTAAGGTAATGACTGCTCACAAAAAAGTCACACTAATTACTATTTTTTTTGGAGATAATTAATTTCAGTTTTGATATTTCAAAGTCTCTAAAAGCTTCTTCCTTCACTTACAGGTTGTTACACCCGCGAGTGATTGTGATTCGCCTTCTCCAGAACGTGATCATAAAGTAACAAGGGTAATTGGTGAATTACCAATTGCACAATATTCTGGAAGTCCACGTCGGTATGGAATACGTGACAATCCCCGACTGCCGAGTCTTCTTTCATCTCCAAGTGTCTACATGACACCTAGACCTGGTTTTCCACAAAGAGTATTACCAACAACGCCTAACCAAAAAGAAGTAAATACTTTGTGACTTTATTTATGTTATAATTATAAAAATGTACTATTACTAAGGCACGTTACTTCTTTTAGAAGGAAGACAATGCATCAGAGATCGTTGTAGAAAATCCTGTGATAGAAACTATTGTTTCCCGACAAGAGGATCAAGCAATGGGTCCCACCTCCCGTTCAACAGAGGCTGAAGATGAAGAAGATGAAGATTTATTAAAACCATCAGTTTTACCTGTTGAAAATTTAAGTAGTCTCGTCTCTCCAGGTGGAAGCACTTTTGATTATTTATATGAGTTTTCCGAGACAAGGAAAGTGCTAGAAGAATTCTTTAAATGCCCTCCATCAGTAGAAGAAAAAGAAAATACTACAGAGTCGTTTCCTTTTCAAGTGAGTTGCTGATTCTTAGCTTTGCCTGATATTTATTCTGAAATCAATAATTCGCCATCGGATACATACCAATTTTCTTTCATATTTAATAGGATCTAGATTATGAACTACGGAGACAAGGAGGTAGTGCATATGTGGGTCAGCGATTAGCCAGTGGACCACCGACAACAGAAGAGGTTGTAGTGCATGAATCTCCAAAGAAGCAACAAGCGGACTTTCCACAAACCGTGAGCACGTTATATAAAAATTTTTATAATTTTATCACCGAAATTGGTTTTAATTTAAACACATTTTCCGTTTTTCTGCTAGACCGTGGAACACGAAAACAATTTCCTAGATCTCTCTGTAGGAACTGGTAGCAGCGAAGACTTGGGAGAAACGGAGGTGGGTCTCCAAGTTGGCCACTCACGAAACTTTACACTGAGCCCAGAAACAACGGATTGCGACAGCAATTGCGGTGATTTAGACAGTGAGATGTCATTAATGATGATAGATAATGAATTGATGCCAGCAAGTGGGTTACTTGGATCAGTTGGAGATTTGGGTAATAACTCTGATTCTCTAAGAATATATACCAGTATGCCTGTGTTAGAAGATGGATTATCCAGCGGACATGCGAGTGACACCGATAACAATAATCCTACAGTGATGTTAATGAAACGTCAGATAAATGAAATTGGAAAGGAGATTATTCAGAGAACTCGTAACGACATGCTAGGTCCTGATAATGATTCTACCAAGGATGTCAGTTTAAGCGTAACTAAAGACATTTTACACTCTCTTAAATCTACTTCTCCTGATTTGTTTGTAACAAAAAAGGAGAATTCGTACGAAGGAAATGAATTGGAGCTAGATGGTTTAGATCCATTGGGAACGCCTCCTCCACCAGCTCCGCAGGGAAGACAAAGTGCAAGTTTGGAAACCAGTGGTGGTGAAGTAGAAGCAGCTATTAAAGACATTAGAATGGCTTTACAAAGAACTAAAACGTTACCTGTCAAATCACCGTCCGAGGAACCTCCTGAACCAAGTGTCAGTCCCATCTGGGTCCCAAGGTACGTTAGAATATCTTTTGCAAGGGTATTCCAAAAACTGAATGTACCGTCAGAAAGACAAACTCGTAATTTTAGACTTATTGCGATTTTGGAATACCCTGTAAATTATTGCTCTCCATTCGCTTTAAGTACGTCTAACTAAAGTGTAGTATGTTGGATGGCAGAAGAAGGGTATGCGCAGAAAGTAATAGCGAAGACTCCGAAGCACGGCGAGGAGGTGAAGAAGGTGATGCAGACGTTGAAGAAGGAGTCGACGAAGAAGAAGCCGACACCGATTTGGAGACAGACCGACTGCTTGGACAACAAAGGACCGATGATCAGGGGTTTTACGATGACAAGGTAATCATGGTTCTTGCAACTTTTCTGGAGACAAACTATTACACATCATCATTGAAAGTAGACACCATGCAAATAGGTGGAAAAGATATGCCGTTTTAATTTATATAATACGATTAATCAAATCGTAAAGATAAGTTCCTGTCCACGTTTTATATCACGGCTTTACTTCCTAAGAATCCATCTTGCACTTTTGTACATATCAACAAAGCATCGATGTATGTTTGCACACACAATGTCTATGATGAGATTAACATTTCCCCTATCATTCCACGTCATGTCTTGTTTCATATCTTATAAAGAATTTATTGTGCAGTAGTAATATGGGAAATAGTACTTTGTCAATCGGAAGCTGTGATCTGTCACGTGTAACCATTTCCATCTTGCATCTATTGTTAACAGGTTGCATCGGTTCTCTTAATCCATTCTGTTAACAAAATGTACTAAATGTTCCATAACATGTTGCTATCACTAATTAAAAATGTGGAAGATTCGGCCTGAGAGATCGAGCTCGAGGGTTGTGCGTTAAAACAAAGTGTATTTCCTGTATTGTATGTAGAGCATTAACAGCGTTAGCGTGCTACTAATGTCGTCTTGGTGTTACGCAGGGATGGCGGAAGCCTAAAACTAGGACAATGTTACCATCAATGAGTACAAAAATCAGTACTCCAAAGCAAACCCCTCCTAAAACCTTGAGTGTCACTCCCTTAGAGATGCTAGCACCCTCGGAACCTCTACCTTCGACCTCGACCTCTGTATCTCCACCTCCGACTGTCTCTGTTATACAATCACCCCCTTCCGAACGTGAAATGACCACCCCAACGCAACCTTCGTCGAGCCCTCAGAAGACCCCAGTCAAAAACTCTTCCTCGCCTCCCCAGAGCCTCAAGGAATCCGGCAGCAAGGTGAAAAAGGTGCCCTTTCAGTTGCTATCACTCTGTGTTATATGTCTGCTTTGGCTGACAACTATCACTGGTGTATGCTCTCTTAGTTGAACTACCAGTAATCTTCGCTGGGGTCCGATTGCATCTACAAAACCCTGCTAGAAGGATTCATTGGCTCCTGCAGGTTCTGGTTAAAAACGAGCGAAATAGATAATATATACCCGCTTTGTTTATCTTTCTCTAAACTCTGCGAGTTTGTTACTTTTCAATGTTTGTTTTTTATCAGACCAAATGCAATTATGTGAAATCCCTCGAGCAGGGGCATAGGGTATTTCTCCCGAATCATTAGTTGATTGTCTTGTTACGATCGAGGTGCTTGTATCGATTGTTAATAACGACTTTTACGAGAGGATTGTACGGATACGGTATAATTCGTGGTTGAAATAACGGTGGTCTTCAAGCACTATAATTTCAAATCAACAGTCACTTACTGAAGTGACAAGATACCACGTACTTACAGTTTATTGCGTGAGACATTTCTATCAGTGCATTGCAATCGTAAGCACGCAGTAGGAAAGTAACATAAGATAGAAAAAGTGTTCAGTAATTTCACTATTGTGTACACCTATAGAGAATGGACTGATAGTTCACTGAATGGTTTCCTATTTATATAAAACGTTTCACCTATCCTTTATTTTTATATGAACGAGAAAATGTGCATGCTTCCTATTACGCCAATACACTTTTCCCATTTGTTTGATTTAATTTTCAGGTGCATGTGCGTGCGGATTTTCATTTAGGTTTTGTTTTTATCGATTCAAATAGCCTTAGGAATTAGTTATTCAAGTGTTTAAGTTAAACTGATTTAGGTACTTGACGAAATTCCCAGAGAATTCGGAAAACGGTTGCATGAGCGTTCTCCCGAAATCGATGTTAGCGCATCTGGTCAAATCGATGACGTTTTAGAATTGTTTGCCTATAGGACATATTGACTCAGTTAATTGACATGTCTAATCGATCTAAGTACTTACAGCCGTACGCGTGCCGTAACTTACACTACTTTCTGCTGTTTCCAGGACAAAGAGGGGAAGAAAAAGAGCAGGAACAAGGAAGGTAATGTCATATTAGTTGCACGAAATGCCGCTCAATCGATAACTCTGCTTTGTACTATCACGAGTACAGAAATTGATGGTTACCTTCCAATGAAAATCTCGAGCGATCATGGTATAAGGCAGATCTATCTGGAGAGGTTTCGATGACACCGTATCTCGCGGTCTCATCTTGTCCGATAACAACTATGATGTCTAAGTCAAGGCATCGAACTCTCCTCCTACCTTTTATCAAGTGAAATGTCAAATTGAATGTTGTAATCCGATAAGACTGGGATCTCTAGCGAGGTACATAACTATAAGTATTTACCATTGCATCCACTTATCTATTGACTGACTTTTACTGCCACCGCCGCGGATATGTGATGTATCTCGATCTCAATGGCACACGACTGGTGAGTTGTATACCACTCGTTTCTCGTTACATCATAAGGCGAGCTTGACTCCAGTGTCGATTATCAGTTAGGCGGTCTTAAACGAGACAATATTGGAATCTTAATAATCGTACGTCGCGTCTACGTCGTATCGACGTAGAAATTAGCCGCTCCTAATCTCGCCTTTCGGGCTGGGCCATTATTGTCTCTTATTCGCCGGCGACTAAATCAAACGCCTTCGTGTGTAGACGTTAAACGCTTGTAATTCATTCAGCCTTGATTTTAAAGCGAATCCGATGCTACAGCTGTTCCATATCCGCCGTCTAGTATGGACGTACCGAGCGTGGTCGTTTGTCAAAGCCAATCTCCCGAGGAGGTCGAAGAGTCTCGGGCCGTCCCGGTGCCCGCGTTTAAAATTCTCAATTATTCCGCCGATTGTCTGTCAGTTTTCGGCAAACTGACCAGTGAACGATGCGGCACGCGCACCAAACGATTTATTTCCGTGGGAATTTCAGCTTTGCTGGACGACCCCTCAGTCCTGATCGAGGGGGTGCTCTTCCGAGCAAGATACTTGGGCTCTACTCAGCTGGTCTGCGAGGGCCAGCCCACAAAGTCGACCAGGATGTGCCAGGCTGAGGAGGCAGTGTCCAGAATAAAGGTATGTACTCGGATTTGATCTGTACCCTAGGATATGTTCGGTGTGTGCGGAAAGTGCAAATATTCCCGGGCTTGTAATATCTGTCGATGGATCGATCGCGCTCCGATCGGAGATTATCGGCGATCAAGACGCGCAAGTCACGTAATTACTGTAAATATGATTTTCTAGTTGACGGGACATGCGGTCTTTATCTTTCTCTCTCTTAGAAAGTGCAGTTCACTTTAGAGGACTCAGTATCAGTAAAGAAAATCGGAGGATTATTATTATTATTATTTAGTAGCATGCACCAAATGCTTTGACGTCACTTTAATTTGCTATGTATATCACGGTGAATAACGATGCAACGTTTTGATAGCTTAATGTGGACGTTTTTAACTTTTTGAGGTGACTCGCGTTCTGTGCACATTTCTCAAGCTCTTTTTTTTTTCTGGTGTAAAGATTTATGGTACTTCTTGGGAGGCTGCTGATACGTATACGTATATGTATAAATAATTGACGAATCTTCTCTCTCGACTCTTGGGGATTTTACTGTTGATGTGTCGGTATCTCGAAGAGATACCTTTAGAAGGACTACGGTACACAAATGCCTCGCTCTCTCTTTAGGTGGATCTTCTCATTAGAGAGTTACAAGTAACTTCTTTCCCTCAAATAGTTAAAATACTTAATCTTTAGGTAACTACTTTAGTTAAACCTCAGAGTACGCAGCAGGAAAGAACGGCGGACGCTCGGTCCGTTCTTTTCTGTCCGATAATCGCAGACACGACGAAACTTTGTCATTTCTTTTTTGTAATAAATGAATCCTTACTTTTTTCTCGACTTCTCAGACTCGCTAAAGTTGTATACACAATTTAATACTATTAACCTTTAATGGAACACACACACACACATACACACATTTATTAATTTATCAATTTATCTGCGTTTATTGAATGATACTCTGAGGTTTAGTTCACCGTTCTTTACGGCAATCAGTGCTTCGAATTGGATGGGACGAAGATGTCAGTTAAATTCAATATCCACGTAAAAGAGCAGGAAGTTTTTTGCGACTCCTCGAATTGGCACACAACTCCTTCGTAATTTTGTCATCCACTGTGTACAGGAATATGTAGAAAATTTGGAAACGGCGCGACAGGATGTCTTCGTCGTGCGTCTGTGTATGTGGTACCATTCCGAGCACTGGTTGCAGTCCGTCTATTTTATATGATTAATTCTAATAACTGTGAACTGGCCGTTGTGTAAAGAGGCCTGAATGTTTCAGTGTAGCGCCCCCTTCCTCACATCACCAACACCACCACCCGACCACCGACACTGTCATCTTCTCGGTGTAACTTTTAATGTGTCTGTCTGTCTGTCTCTCCGTCTGCCTATCTGTCTACCTGTCTCCGTTAATCTCCGTTCCCTCTTGTTTTTTTTTTATTTCTTTCTGCTTGCTATCCTCAACAGTTCCTGTAGGGTAACCGTTCGCCACATGTCGAGTTTTGCACACAGTGATTTACAACCGCCCTCCCGTCTTATCGATACCGTCAAAATCTTATCCTGTTTACTCGACCTACAAGTTACCTATTCTCGCGCCACGAATTAGCCACTCTGGAGAAAAATCGGTCACCCTGCAAGTGAGAAATCCTGAAGATCGTTTCACGGCGGGATCTAATCGGCAAAGGGACCGCGAAAGTAAATCGACACCTCGCTTGAAAGCACCCGAATATGTACACGTTTGCTTTTGAATATGAGATCCCTTTAAATGTCAAGCCACGGGATGCGCTTCAGGGGGGAATAACAGAGAACACACACAATTCTTGCGTGGACTCGACGGCTTTTATCACCGTAGAAGTTAACACCTCTTTCGCTTATCTCTTTTGCTCGCCTGCCTAAGCTTCGTGCAGTAGACTCGTATTTGACGGCAGCCTCTAGAACCAGATTTGAGAATGGAGTTGGGAGTATCGCTTACACTAGTGACGGACATCTTGACCCCTGTCGATGCGAGAATGAGCGTCCTGTCCGGAACGTGCTTTGCGTCCCTTACACGATATCCTATCCGTGAGCCCGGCTAATGATAACGATCCGATCCGAGCCTGATGCCTTGCGAACACTTTAACGCGGATGTCGATGGTGCTTCTTGTTAACGCCCTGACAAATGAGACGTGTCCTTTCTGGTAAAGTTTGCGTTGGATAATTACAGAGATAGTACTGCCCCGTTACCTCTTAGCGTCCCGAGTCCTTCGAGGCTCGGAGCTGCTCGGGCTCGCTAAATGATTCAAGATCCCGAAAACGTAGGGAAACATTAGACGGCGAATCCTCAAAGGGAATCCGTTCAGCCGAGTCGAGCAGCTCGGAGCCTCCGAGCTTTTTGGCTCTTGGCCTTGTTCTGTGGTGGTGCCGTGGCAATGTGACTAGCAGAGCCTTTGTTTGTTTGTTTGTTTGGCGCGTTACGGAAGGACGGGCCGGTGCCGATGCAGGCTACGCTCTTAAACTATGGGGGGCAGCAGACGTACGGTCGCTGCAGCATTGCGTCCCAAGGAAGCCTCGAGGAAGACGAGTGCGACTCGAGCGAAGAACTTATAGGAAGTGCCTCTGGTGGGGGCCAGTCCGAAACACACGTTGCGGCCCAGACCAAGCTGGCCCCGATCGGAGGCTCGTTGGGGCCTCCAACCGTTTTCAGACTACAGTTTCTCGGGTCGGTGGAGGTGGAAGAGGAAGGGGGACGCAAACGGCGGAAACGCCTTAAGAAGCACATGGTCGAGGAGGCTGTCACTAAGATAAAGGTCCGCCTTGTCCTCATTCCCGCTCGATTCCTTTCTTCGGGACTTTGGGATCACCGAGATTCCCTCGTCTGTCGCACCATCGTCGTACGTTTACGCTAATCCGGAGAGACATTCGGGTACTCGAGGTCGAGCTTTCAACCGCAATGTGCATTTCTCCTTCGCCGAGTCCCTCTCGGTATCTTTGATTTAAGATACCGAGAGGGAAAAGGTTTTGTTTAACCGTTCACGGCGCACAGGAGAAAGGCACGTGCTCGAGTCGGTAAACGCAGTCGCCGTGGTTGTACTACTAGAATTCTTATAGTTTACCGTATCGACGGTGCACTCAAGTCGGCATAGTTTCATTCGTAATTGACATTGACTTATATGTATATGATTGGTGCATACGTGGTACGACTAACGATAACGCTTCTTGTTTACTTTTTATCTTACACGCTACCTCTTGTAACAGGCATTGGTGAGTAGAGACGAGCGCGAGGATCGCGGGGCCTTGCTTTCGAGTAGGTTCTTTTTAACGCTTGATCTTTTATCTATGTAGGCTCCAGATGGAGAGACGCAACCCAGCACTGAAGTCGATCTGTTCATCTCGACCGAGAAAATTATGGTCTTGAACACCGACTTGAAGGAGATCATGATGGATCACGCTTTAAGGACGATATCTTATATAGCGGACATCGGAGATTTAGTGGTCCTCATGGCTAGAAGACGATTCGTACCCCACGAGATGGAGGAAGCCCCGAAGATCAACCGAACTCCGAAAATGATCTGTCACGTATTCGAAAGCGAAGAGGCTCAATTCATTGCACAAAGTATCGGTCAAGCGTTTCAAGTAGCTTACATGGAGTTCCTCAAGGCGAACGGCATCGAAGACCACAGCTTCGTCAAGGAAATGGATTATCAGGAAGTGCTGAACTCGCAGGAGATATTTGGCGACGAGCTGCAGATGTTTGCTAAAAAGGAGATGCAGAAAGAGGTGCGCTCACGCGCGTTGAGGATTTATTTTCCAGGGGGGCCTTTTAGCGTCGCGGTTAATGTACGGTGCAATTGCTCATTTCAGGTGGTGGTGCCGAAAGCTAAGGGGGAAATCCTTGGAGTGGTAATCGTGGAGTCCGGCTGGGGTTCGATGCTGCCAACAGTAGTGATAGCCAATCTAGCACCCGCCGGCGCGGCCGCCCGCTGTGGACAGCTCAATATCGGCGATCAAATAATCGCGATCAACGGGGTATCGTTGGTCGGGTTGCCTCTTTCGACGTGTCAAACGTACATCAAGAACTCAAAGAACCAGACGGTCGTCAAGCTGACCGTCGTCCCGTGCGCACCGGTCGTGGAAGTCAAAATCAAGAGACCTGATACGAAATATCAGTTAGGATTTAGTGTACAAAACGGAGTGATATGTAGTCTGTTGAGAGGTGGAATCGCCGAAAGGGGTGGAGTTCGAGTGGGCCACAGGATAATCGAAATCAACAATCAGAGCGTCGTCGCCGTGCCGCACGAAAAGATCGTCAATCTTCTGGCTACATCCGTTGGCGAAGTATGTACGACCAAATGAATTAACGTCCGAGGGGAAATATGTATACGTTTAACGTAAACGTTGCTTCTCTTTGGCCATTGGTGTAATTAATCGGATTGCGTGAATTCTTACTGTGTACGGTATCTTAATTGTCTCTACTGTCCCTTTCAGATCCTGATGAAGACAATGCCCACGTCGATGTTTAGGCTGTTGACTGGCCAGGAATCTCCGGTGTACATATAAGCGTTGAAATGCCTGGCCATTACGTAGTGAACAGACAATACGTCCGCCATCCATTACTGTACTACCCACCTCTTCTCACCGCGCTGGTTGCTCCACGTGAATTATCGCGCATCGTGATTCTCATCGAGCATCTCAAACATTCACCAGCTCCCGCTTAGCTAATCGTGGCTAATTTAGAAGCCCAACGAACGTTACTAAATATCTACTCGATCATAATTTATATGATTATCATAAATATATTATATAAATATAAATATACAGATTATTAAGAAACGCGAGTTTCTACGGCAGGCACTTGCACGCAGTTAACACGTTCGCGGTAAACTTGCTAGAGAGTAAGTGAGATCATTTAACGCTGTTGCGAATGAGTTTTTAATCATTGTTAAAGTTGCAACGTTGTAAATTTTAGAGAGGAAGGAAAAGGAAAAAGTAATTTCGTTCGTTGACCGCTTCTATAACTTGGCATGTCGTTAATCTAGCGTAACGTTATGCAATGATGGTACAAAACGTAGAATATTATGCCGTAGGTGAAATCGTTGGAGAACCGATCGAGTACGGAGGACGTGGTCTCGGGAATCTTCGACTACGGGAATGTTTTAGTGACACTTCATGTATGCCTACAAGATATATAATTCTACTTACTAAGGTTCCGTAATCCGAAAGTAAAGGGCGGTGTGCTTGGCGGAACCGTTAACTGCTCGCGTTAACGAGAGTGTCTCAACTGCCGTAGAAAGTCGCCTTTTATGCGCCAAGGAAGATGATAAGGGATGCAATGCACATGAATATAAATAGCACAAAGCTCTTTACCCGTGTTTAGAGCAGAGCTGGAACTGTATATTACATGACTAATTACGTAGTACTATTTCTAAAAGGTCTCCCCACTTTTGGAGACTCAATCTACATTCCTTCGTTTAATTGCTACTCTTTCATCCTTACGCTAAGCGATGCTTCGAAGGCGATGCCCTACGTATTACTTTGTACTAAAATCACTATGCGATCTACGGCTTCGAGTGTCTTGTGATTAATACGAGGGTATTTATATAGAAGAGCACAACGTAGACAATGTAATCGGTACTTCTGTTGCGCGAAACATGCGGCAATACTCTAAAACATATATTGAATTCGAAAATGTAGTCTCTCTTCGTTGATCCCTCCGATCTTACGTAATCGAGAATTCATGAAGGAACTCATTCGCGAGGACACGTCAGACCTTTCATCGAAGTGCATTAATTTAGTTTAGCGTTTGTACGGGTTCGTCGAAATGCAAGTTTAAAAATAATACTCGAAGAGAGACTGAAATGCACAACGTTAGAGTATCGAGGAGCAAAAGCCTGTGGGTTAAAACGAATCGTCGCAGGCGCGCCATGACCGAGTGGTGCTCTTACAAATAAATATCCACGATTATTGTGATCTAGGTTTTATCTATTTTTGCTGACTACTCTTCGACTTCGAGCTATTCGGTTTCAAATAACGAGAGGCGGCGTCACGAGCAGGGAGATTCCTAAAATTCGATAAATTTTCAATGCCAAAACACATTCGACCATGTTCGCAGCTAATGTACATGCCTTAGGCCAACATGATTTCTCCTTAATTCCGCCATGGGTGCATAGACGTTCGCAGTTCTCGTTACGAGTTACAGTCTTTCTTTATCAACTGTGAAAAACACAAAAGAAATACCATGTACATAAGGAAAGGTGCAGAAATTCTTTTGCATATACACGCCGCACAGCAGTCGCGGAATATCTGTCTAATCTAAACACATATCCCGTGTGAATACTGCGAAGTTAAGGAATCGGAAATGGAAAAGAAAAAAAATGATAATCCTCCATGTATCCTACGTTGTATCACGTACACATTGCGCTTGCTCGTTACGCGCTGAGCAAACAATACTCGACATTACATGTCGCGGGTGTATACACCATACAGTCATGGATTTTGGCATAGAAACGTTTATCCACGCGGTTCGGTGACCGACGAAAAGCGGTATATAACTCGGTAATAATTATATGGGATCAAAACAAGATGTTATATAGTTGGGTGGCTGAAACTCATCTAGTCACTTTACGCTAAGATTATAAATAATTAAACGAACGCCCAGCCATCGCAAGCCACCCTGACTGAACGTGTCTAGCCACATTTGAATTACTGATTTTGCAATGGAACACGCTAGCTGAGATTGCGCGGTCATCTCTTTTACTTGTACGCGAGAGGCACTTTTAACATGTATCAGGCTACGCAGCCGAAAGGGCGCAGCTAGAAGTGATAACTTATTTCGCAAAAGTTGCGGCGGACCTCGTACCTTGACGAAGCTTTCTTCGGTTGGAACCTACCGAAGTGCCATTCGCTGCGATTATTATACATTAAAAGAAAAAGGAAGAAAAAAGAAGAGCATTTAGATACGTGTAAGTCAATAAGGGAAATAACAATCGCTCCATTTGTATTTTATACATACATACATACATATATATATATACATATAATTCCTTTGTATCTCCAAGTTGCGTTCCGTTTGTACCCTACGCCTGTACTTTATGCTTTCGGTCCAAATTTCTTTGTAATCCTAGTCATAAAACTGCCTTGTACGCGATTAAGTGAGTTTCTTGTAGACTAACGACGGTAATTGGATGTAAAGTTGTTGATCATAATGACTCGTTTGTGTATCGGTACGTTACTTCCAAACGCGTCGTACGCTTCTACGGTGTAAAGCGCGCGATGCGCTCCTGTTTTCTCAGAGGGATAAAGGATAAAGGATAAAGGATCTAGGAAAAATCAGCATCTCCGAATATACCGAAATACGTGACATAATATTTTGAATATAAATAACGACTACCAGTCGGACGCGGTGAACAGCTTTTTTACATTTACGAGACACGGGGCGGAAGGGAAACGATGATCCTGCAAAGTCAGTGTATAGTCGGAGAGGAGTACTGAATCGCGGTCGCGGCTGCAGCGATCAATGAATATTAATTATAAACGCCCACACTCGTACGAGATAAGAGTAATCTATCTTATACATACTAGAGCTTGCGCCGTAGCTTCGCAGGTCACAAACGATGCTACAAAATATCACGACTATCTCTATCAATGTTTGTGAGTGTATTATAAGTTAAATTAATAAATAAGCGAGCTATTGAATGTGTATATGGTAACACTCTACTAGTCCATACAAAGATAACAATAAACTGTAATTTTGAATTCAAATTCGAAATCCGTGCGTTTCCGTTTAACCGGTCTCGTAGAAAGTAGAGCTTAAAAAAACGTGGTATATTCTAGTGGACCTTCCCGGGTTGCTTTTATCCCTGTGACTAGTTAGTGGTGGGATTGCCCTGTCTAATCGTAACCAGGCACTTGACAAGGGAAAAAATTGGAAAAATATGTAGAAGGAATTTAAACGCATTTTCTTGCGTCGAGCTTAGTGGCAGAACTTCAAAGTATGATCTCCGATGTATGCCCCAACGTTTATTTATTTTTTTTTATTCCTGAGAACTATTTTTAATTAATCTTAATACGAAGAGCAACCTTCTGTTCAAATATTAAAAAGCATTGCAACAAGACGAGGCTTCCTTAAACAATCTAGTTTATTATTACACCGTAGTTACAATTATTATTAATATAGTAGCGTCAGAATCATGTCTGTGTACGTGACGCGTTCGGTTTCCGGTTTTCCGTATTATAAGTTGTAAATCCTTAGACATTACATTCGGCACTAATGTCAATAATGCAAAAAAGGAGGTGCATCCTCGCAACAGCCTTACGTTACAAATCATTTTCCCATAAGCACGGTAGATTCGCGAATCATACCTCTCGCCACATCGAACGTCCTACTAATTCTTTACACCGATTCCGTCAATCGCTTCTTAAATCTGTAATCCATACAATTCTTCAATGGTTGTCCAACATAACGTGCCTTCTACATACCGCAGTCTACGGAAGTTAATTCACTTGTATACCAACTGGTTGCATAAAGTTGAAGCCCTTCGGAAACTAAACATAACGCGACGCTCTTCTATCCACCTAACGGACCCGCGGTAAAAAACACATAACATCCAAACTAAAAGCGTGACAGAAATAATTTATCAACTACACGTACCCCTTTCTTTGTCGCGATACCCGAAAATGCTCTCCGTGATTTAAAAGTGTAATAAAACGGGATCGTTACATCCACATGACGTACAAACAGTCGTTATCGGTGTCGATGTACCCTCCCCGTTGATAAGTTACTTTTAATTAACCGCCTATAATCGCTTCCTATTTTCTTAATACTTTGGTCGAATTAAACCGAACTGTGTTCCGTAACTATGCCCCATCTTTAGCGCAGCATTCTTTTAGCTTATTTAACCAGTTAGCTGTGTTTGACGAGTATACTCGGCATGAAAACTCACGTTTCAAATAGGTCGACACAGTTAACTGGTTAAAAGTGTACTACTGTACTTGTTACAGCTGGTGCTTGACGCGTACATGATTACGAATTATATTTACGATGTAACTAAGTTAATTTCACTAAGCACGGGTGTATTGCCAGAGATAACAAAGACACTAACGGTACAACCTTTGGAAACATTGATAAACGCACCCTGTTGGAAACTCTTTTACACAGTCTTACACAGTTTGGTTAAAAATATTTGTTTAAAACAAATGCGCGAGAGGCTTTGGATTACCTATTGACCTGCTCTCATTGTTCATCTCTCAAATTATTCATCCATTATCACCCAGTGCACATAGAATTATTAATTTGCTTCCTTATTTTCCATGATTTTACGATCATGTCTTGTGCCGTGTAACAAGTCTCCATGTCGCAGATTAATAAGTTAACAGATCAGTAAATTGGTTTAGGCATTGATTAATAATCCATATATTTGCACGTGTATCTATTGAAGGCATTGCATCGTTATCGTATTCGCTTATCGGTAAAATTGAGACGTGGCCAATGCCGAGAGAAAACACTTCGCGTGTACTGCGTTAACACATTCGAATAAATTAGAACTTGTTCGCCAACGAGAGCGACTTAATTTTGGAACTTATTTTCCTGATGATACGCTAGAACTATTTACATCGTAACGATAGTAGGATCTAAATGCAACCGGATGCAGCGATGCAGACGAGATTCCTCTAGTATCTAAAAAGAAACGCACTACTGCAACCGTAAACCAGTGCAGAAGTTACGGACACTGTACCGCTCGAAAAGGTGTAGAGGCTCGATCAAGGAATTCTGAAAACTATAGCACAACCAGTTAGTATAATGTATTATCTTCAAGAAAATGCTCTGCAATTCAAGTTCTCGTACTTTTTTTTTCTCTCTCTCCCTGAAACACGGTGACAGAATTGCGGCGAAGGCGGGAAGTTAGCGGTTTTACAATGTGACTCGTGGTTGAACATTAGGAATTTGAAGACTATCGTCAGCTCCGGTCCAAAGTTATGGTTAGATTTTACAGTACCGGTAGTTATTCTAGACTGTCAACCGTGGACAAATATTCCGTTAACAGAGAATTTAAAAGGTTGAATTTGAGCGTGGAGTCTCTGCAATTCTGGCAATGTAGAAAATACAGTCCCGTACTGTTAATTCTTACAAAAGTTTTATTGTTTCAATAGCAAAATGATGGGCACAGGGTGCAGGGTACGTAGCTGATGTGGGACGAGTGACCGGGGCAGGGTGTCGACATTGCATCGAGCTGCAGATGTTTCGACGAGGCTGAGATCAGTTGTCCATTGCATATCTACGGGTCCACTCTTTGGCATTGCGTATCGCTTCGCTTTCGTTTACTTTCCAGAGTTCTGCTACGTCGTTTGCCAAAGGATCGTCGGGGTTCGGGGCGCTCAACAATGCTTGTATGGATAGCAATACTGTCCTGATCTGAAGTGCAGGACTCCATTTATCCTTGAGAATATCCAGGCAAATCCTACCCAGTCTGGCATTCAATTAAACAAGGTTTAAGTAAATTGTCTCGTTCGATTAAGAAACTAGTTTTATTTCATTCATTCTGTTCGATGCAAATTATAACACGAAATATTTTATAGGAACACGTGAGAACTTCCTTAATGAAATCTTTCGGTTTGACTGTAACGTCATGCATTTGATAGATGAAAGTTGGAACCATTCATTGTCCAATTTAAAACAGAAGGGTTGTAAATATTTAACCATTTTCTATTATATAAAAGTGTGGAGTTTTACATCTTACCTGTCTATATTTGGATGATAGATTTTAGTAATAAATCTAACTTTTGGTGCAGACATAGGGTAATCTTCTGGTAGGAACAATTCCAGCTTAAATAGTCCACCCTCGAATGGCGAATCCTCAGGTCCCGTAACAATTACGTGAAAATACCTAGCATTTGTATCATCAGGTACAGCACTGATACCAGGGACCGGCTCTTGCATCAGTCTCTGCGTTTCCTTAATGATTCTTCGCGGCAAGGCTGCCATTTCTTCTTAAGCTCTGTTAAAATATGTCTAATTAATTCACCAAAATTTTACATCAACTTCGGAAAGAATATTTCAGTAATCATTGACACACTGATTCATTAAGAAAACAAAAAAATACATACATATAATTTTTGGAAATAAGCCCGTTTCCCAAAGAGTCTGGTAATTTGTTTGCTGGTTCCAGCCTCGTTAGAAATTCTATTTCCCAGTACTGCGCAACAAAATAAAAAATTAATACATAATGAATTTGCAGTTTTTTATAATAATCTATTCCCAAGGTTAGCAGAGATTTTTACAATACCAGTGATTTCTTTACCAATTATAATTTTTTTAAAATACTCATGAAAGCCGTCTCATGTATAACCTTTTAATCAGTTAACTGTGTTCGATGTGTATACACGTCGGTAACCCGTAACGTTACAGTAAATTCCGCAGTTAACAAGTTAACCAATACATGAATGTAGATATTGTTTAGAGCAAAAGAACACCTGATGGGAAATTCAAGTTAGATGACTTGGTAGAATGAAAAGCTAATAAGTTACCACTAAAATAAAACTACCTTTACAAGAGTATTTAATTTATAAACGCCTGTCACCTAACAACCTCTTAGAGGCTTTTATCTTTGGCCAAATAAAATGATTCCTTGGTTAAACCCTGGTAAGTATATCACAAAAGAATGGAATCCATCGGCATCAGATACTATCGACATTAAAGTCTAAATCAAAAACAAGGTACAACAGAATTGCTCTCTCCTTTATGCAAACAAGAGACGCTTTAGAGAAATGTACAGCGCTTTCGTTACAACTTAAAAACTGAAGACTACGTTCTACTAAACGAGTACCTATTACAAATCCATTCTCGCATCACCTGAAAATTAATATACCATCCCTGACAATTGCTCTATCAAAAACTAGGAAATGTCTAATTCACCACCATCAAAGAGATGTTTAAGATCTGTCAGTGTCAAGAGAATAATTTGCATCGGAGACCGGGCAGAGAGGTTACTGCAATGAGCACTTTACAGCGATGAATCCCATCGAACCAAACCTCAACTAAAACTGCATTAGTCCAAGATAATTATGAAGATCGTACCCAACGAACCAAAGCGTACCCATCATTAGCAACCTCCTGAGACCGCGATTCGGCGCGACTAAACAAAGGAAATAATTAACCAAACAATCGTCTGAAAAATACACCGCGAACCGCGTGGACGTGGAATCGACGCCCCTGTCGACCCGCTAATTATTCATCGGTATCAAACGAATACGTACACAGGAACGAGGGGAAATATGCTCGCGTCTGCCCGTGCTAGTGACACCCGTCCGCCGCCTCCGGTGAATCCTGCAGGAACTGGCGGAACTCTCCGTGTGGAACTCCTGAGAGTTCTCGGCGAGCTGCAACTCCTGCGATCGTCGGCTGGGCAGCCGACGGCTAACCGGGCTGCAAGCTTGCGAGTAAATCACGAAAATTTGCGGTTAGACCCACTAATTGAATTTCCGCACCTAGAAGTGTGTTGTATCCTTCACGGTCGCTTCCAGCGATTCATCTTATCGCACGTGATGGCGCTGCCTTACTGCTCGCTCCTTGACTCACTGCGCGAACCAATTTACCCATTTTCGTCGGTTCGGACGGTAACTATCCACGAATGTTTTACAGGGAAAAATTGTCTTCCGGCATTGGATAAATTTTCAGTCCCAGAAGAATTACTGAGTGAGCCGATTTCATTTCCTTCGTTTCTCTTTTTTGACTTTGCACCGTCCAATGAGCGATGCTAACGCGCTTGCCATTTACCGCATGCTGAAGTCCACGCAAGGTGGATTTCGAGGAAAGTGTTGTTTAACCTCTATCGATTGTAAAATCTTACATTGGGTAACGTCGATAAAACTTGAATGAGCGTACAACTTTATGAGGTTTCTTCTCGACTTATTGAACTTGAACGGCCGACCGGTCAAGTTCGGGTTGCACGGTTGAGAGGTTACATTCGGAGATTGATGCCGTTTAGTGAAATTTGCATCGTTGTTCTCAGTCTTGTTTAAGACATTGATGTAATTAGTGGATTAAAAAAATTAATATGATTACTGTATTCATCTAGGATGTTGCAATTGCGTTAGAAATGAATTTCGAGTAGGAGGCGAATAGAAAGCAATCGATCGCTAATGGCTGTTTCCATCGGCGATGTAATCTATATTTCTAAATGACACTAAAATTATTTTCTTTAACGAGTTGAAAAATGATGCAAAACGTTATTTTTATTTATCATTCTTGAATTAATTGAAGAGGTGCTGTATTTAAGTTAAAAAAAACGATCCTGCCAGGATTCGAACCTGGAATCTTCTGATCCGTAGTCAGACGCGTTATCCGTTGCGCCACAGGACCTTATAAACACCAATGTTCTTTTCTACATATTTGACGGACTAATTGCACTAATAAAAAAGACCAATTCCAAATAATCAAATCTGATCTAAATTCAACTATTGTTCTTCATTTTGTATTGTACTTATCTTTTATATGTACAAAGAAGTTGCTTTTGACTTAATATTGAAGGGATCAAATTTCTCTTCATGTATAAATTACATATAATCTGTTAAAGGTTGTATCGCTATGTTATTATTAGATGTCATTGCATGAAGTGTATAATATGGGTATGGAAAATATACATAAAGTCTTATAATTATAAATGGCTGATTAAATTTACAAAACAGGTGGCTGAAAATTAAATTTAAATGAAGACCCTAAACTGGGTGTATTAAACATAGTTTTAACTTCTGCTGGGGTAGATTCATGTATCACAGCCTTTCGTAAAAATAAAGATTCCTTATTTTGTTTGGCAGGTTTTGAAAACTTCACAATTGATGCATTCGTTGATAGCCTCTTCTCTTCTTCTGCCATTTTTGCTCTATAATCTCCAAAAGTAGCTCTCATAATTTGTCTCTTTTTAATTGGTGGTACTTTGTTGCTCTTTAATGCATGCACATATTTGTTAACATTTTGCTTCTGTTTTTCCTGAAGTTTGACCTTGTGTAATCCAGATTCTAGCTGTTGAATACACCAACATAATTCTAACTCAAATTGATCTTGAAGTGCCTCGTCAAGTACGTTCGAAGAGCCTACATCTTCATTGTTAGCGTTTTTTGAACTTGATGCTGCTACTTTTCCTTCTGAAGAACCTGTTTTCTAAACAGAGATTAAAATCATTAAAAGCCCTGATTCACGGAACAACATAGACATCTTTTGCTAATGGGAGTAATGTCAATTGCATCTGAAACTGGCTCGTGCACGTGGCATTCTGTTTTATCGGCAAAGCAATTGTCTAACCTATCAATCATTAAACCGTAAAAGCAGTCGAAATATACATTAAGGTACATTTTTACCGGCACATTCCTTTTTGGCGACATATCAATGTGAAAATGAAACCCACTGAAAAGTGTGTTTCTGTAGAAGACACTAAAAAAATGAATCGCACGCACTTTACATATGAACTGTTTCAGCCTTAGAAAGGTACGATGACTGAACGAATGTGAAAGCTAGATGGCGGGACGCGAATTTTTTGGACTGTTTCCTATTCACTCCGTATGAGAGCAGCACAGAACAAGATTTTCTCTGCATCTCATCGGAGAAGTTCTCCAAATATGCTGCAGATGGAGCCATAATATATATACTTCGTTCCAAAAGTTCCAGAAAGGTGCAGCACCGAAGGTTGAAACACATCGCCGCGGTTCAGAAAAATTTATGGCGGGAAAAGTTTACCGAGAAAATAAATATGAAGTTGCAATGCAAAGTGAAGAAACAGGAGCACGAGAATGTCATGAATACACTGGCTGAATATATTTACACGAATCTACAGTACTTGACAGTCTTTCTTGCCCACCCCAAGAGCGTGCATGCGATTTAACAATTATCATGACTGCTGCCTTATCTTATTCGAGGAAGTAATCATCGTGCAATAAGTCACGTCGTATAATTTATTTGTCAACACGTTACTTTGGCAAAGCAATGTTATTAGTCAATTTGAGCACACTTTCTCGTCGTATTTTATACATAATATATTCTTCTATAAACAACAACATTCTTTAAATATAATAATTATAGTATTATATTGAGCTTCGTTTGATGATGTACAATCAGTACGTATGGAAAATGCGAGAGTGAATGTCGCATGTAGATATTTATTTTTGAAGAATTCCTTTCCTAACAATTTTTCGAGCCGCATTCGTCTGAAATCCTTGAATCAAAGTAATCGAAGTTACGTCAATCATGCCTGACTTTTTAATGACGGTTAAATTCTACCAACGCGATGCCTTCGAAGACGTAGTCCTAGACGTAAAGTAACAATTTTTGACGTCGTTTATATTTAATTTAAAAAGATGATATGAAGGGTCCCTCAACAAATTCTACCCTCCGACGAAACTCCCAACCACGTATATACAATTTCACCGAAACGGAACGATTTTACAAATTCCACGGTAAACCTTACCTTATTAGAGCTGTGCGATCGGTTTAAAAATGGCGCCTCTTTAAGGGAATACGCGAGATGTAAAGTAAAATACTCAGAGCAACATTGACCACGTACCGTTCTATAATACTTAATGCGACGTTATACGTATTACAGATATGAATTTAATACGGATATGGCGTGATTACACAGTAGTTGTCTCGTTGATCGCGAAACTCGTTCGCCTCGACAATAGTACCTCGACAAGTATTACCTCGTAGCTCCTTAAACCTAGGTCAATACACTAATTATTTGTCTGCATTTGATTATGAACGATGAGGTGATTCCGAGGATTTACAAGAAATCGTTATTAATCACCTTTACGGTGGGGCGTTCGCTTAACCAGCAAGGTATCACTAGGGTGATAGATTCGACACTCGTTTCGTCAAGATATGAAAGTGCCTCGCACCATTGATAGGAGAGGTCCGAAGGGTCACTTTTCGACCCCCGATTAAGCACTGCGACGATAACGCGACCCGAGTGCACCGGTTGACGTCTCCCTTAAGTCTAATCCGATTACACTCTATCGTTGAATACAGTCTCCGCAATTATGCAGACCAACCGAAACCGTTTCTACATAAAAACGGCCTCCCTCGAGGAGAGCTTGAACAGGCATAAAAAATACATTCATCGGCATTTTTCCGTTAAGCTCTACCGCGCCGCCTCGCGGCGCTCTTCGTATTACAAATTCTAGCGAAGGGGAGCTTGCGACATTACCGACTAAGCCTCGAACTAACCGATTCCCCTTTTAGTCTGGCGTACCAAGAGAGTTGTGAAAAAAGAATCTAGGCTGGGAAATCAATCGACCTGGACTTTTCACACGGAGGAAACGACCCCCTGTCGGGATAAGAAATTCGAGTGAACGATATGCTCTTTTAGTAGGTAAATTAATTCGCTATCGTAAACTAGTCGCGTTACAGGTTGTGCGGGGAATACGAACGAGCAGGCCAGGAGGAAGAAGGAAGAATCTACCTATATAAGAATCCTTAAGGTGATGCGAAAGGGTCATTCTGTACATCTATATCAAAACGTCAAAATATTTATAAAACTTTCCTCCAAGCTCGGTGCACCGAATTGTTTGAAACTTTAGCACGTGATTATGGAGGCCCTAAGGAAGAACGCGATGCTCATGAAATCCTATTTATCCAAGACTACACCTAAGAATATATTTTTTTTTGTGGAAAAATGAAATTTCATGCCTTGTTTCTTAGAGCCTTCATAATCACGCGCTGAACTTTCAAATTATTCGGTGCACCCAATATGGAGAATAGTTTTATATATATTTTCACGTTTTATATGTATATGGAATGACCCTTTCATATCACCTTAACGGTCCACCGATCTCGATGAAATTATCCGTCGACTAGAAGAGACTATTTCGAAGCCTGGAGTCTCAACTCGCGGCAGCTACGAGTCAACGATCTGTACACGAATCCCTTAACCCTTCCGACCCATTCTAGACGCCCCGGGTCGCCAGAGGGATTACCGAAAAATCAGAAAGAAGAGCATTATGTACATCGTGCACGCACGATTTGCGACGAGGAGGATGCACCCGTTTCGCAGATTCAGGACGTCGTTCTCCTTCAGGGCGTTCTTGTCGCGCTTCAAATGCGCCCGCGGATCCGCGGTGGTGGTCGTGGCGTACTTGCTGCCGAAGATGAGCCTCGAAGTGCTCTTCTGCATAGCCGGGGTGCTCAGCTGGTAAGACATCCGACCAAGGGTCGTCAATTGCGCGGATTTCCCTTTACTTCGGTTCCCCAGCTTCTTCCAGTTGATCGGCGTGGCCTTGGTGGGCAGGGTGGCCGGTTCGATCTCTAAAACGCAGAAATGACCACCCGTGAGTTACCCCATAAATTCGGTAGACAACATAAATTCCACCTAGCACGGCAATTTACGTCCAACTTTACCTGGAACGTATCATTTCGCGGATGTTTAACTTTAAGAGTTACGTGTTATTTCGGTTTTCATCGCAGGTGAGACTTCCGCGGTGGAGGACCAACCCCGAAGGCGTTGTCGGTGGGACGGTGGTGTTTAAGCGCTACACGCTGGGGCTTAACCAACTATTTGCATTTCATCCCTTCGACTCGATGCGAACAATTAATTGAAGAAATACAGCGACGAAGTGCAGTCGCCACGTACTGCCACGGGGAACTGGGAAACGACTTCTCCCCTGCTTGCACTCACCATGGGTAAACAGTGCTCCCCCTACGTCATTTAATTGAATCGCTATTTCAGCTGGAACGTCTCTTTCGGGGGATGCTCCTCAATTAACTAGCCAAGTTTGACAGTATTTTGGATTTCAGGTGAGAACGTGCGCGTCGACGTTCGGGCATACCGCGTGTCCCACTCTAACGACTATTTGCGTTTCATCCCTTCGACTTCCTGGTCCAGACAATTAATTGAAGAAACACCCCAGCGGTGCGCGACGATCGCTTCAGTATCGGGAAGCGGAGCCGTAAGAGTAGCAAGTAGTTTCCGCCACTGTTCACGGGCGCACGATTCCCGAGGTTTAATCAAATTGTTACATATTAACCCGTGCATCCGAGTTCTGGGAGATGAACTTCTTCAATTAACTTTCCGTATTTCTCGTCACTTTAGATTCCACGTCCGCGTCAGCGAAACCGACCGGCGGCGTCGCGCCTGCGTCGAACGCGCCCTGGCACTACACGTCCCGGCTTAAACAACTATTTGCATTTCATCCCTTCGACTCGCTGGCGCGAACAATTAATTGGAGAAATACCCCGACAGGGTAGGGAGAGCCGAAAACGCGTTCGCCGGCAGTTCGCACCCACCGTAGACCCTGAGGGTGGCTTCCGCCTTGCTGATGCTGGAGGTGGCGGAACACGTGTACTCCCCTAGGTCCGCCTTCTGCAGGCCCCTTATTTTCAGCTCGATCGTCGCCTTCCATTCCTCCTCCAGGTCCCAGATCTCGAGGATTTCATATCTTCCGCTACATCAACATAATGCGTCCCATTAGTCCCGAGCCGCCCCCGCGTACATATCGCGGGCGCAATAAAGTGACCGTTCCGCGACGCACCCGCTCATGATAACCTGCTCACTTCTTTTCCAGAAGTTGATGGTCTTTGGGAAGGCCTCGACCAGACACACCAGCGACACGCTCGTGTTCAGGGGAGAGCCCAGCAGCTGGTTTGCCACCCTGGCGCTCGGCGGAACTGAAGCGTACGTCGACATTTGTCAAAACCAAGCCCCGAGGACCCAAGCGCCGTTTCCGGACTCCAAACGCGCGCCAAGCGGAAGGATATCAGGAAATGGAGGTACCTAGCGTCGAAATTGATTCCACCGATCGTTCGACTATTTTCCGAGGTACCCAGGAGAAATTTTACAGAAAGTGACCGTGGATCGAGTACGGTTATCCCGATCATGTGTTAACGTTATTCTAAACACCTGGTTTGCCGGTGGGCGCGCTCTGGACCGGAAACGAAAATGCTCGAGGACCCCCTGGTGTGTCTACAATTTGGGAAATTCCACGTTCCCCGAGAGCTCATGTGCGATCTCGCGTGGAACCGTTCGCAAATACTCACAGTTTACTCTCAGATAGACCCTTTTGCTGACAGCCGGAGGCACGGCGTTCTTCGCGATGCATAGGTAAGCTCCCATCTGTCGTCTGTCCACTCTGGTTAAATCCAGTCGTTCGCCTGCCGGGTTGTCCACTGGAAAGTCGCATTACTAATGAAAATTCTTTCCACAGTGGCCTCGCCTCTCCTCGCCCTTGCCCCTGCGATCAGGTCGGCGCCCTAGAATGGTCGGAATACTTTTCCTCCTTTGGAGAGGAATTTTTTTTTTCCCCCGACCTAACCTCTGGACCAAGGAAGACGAAGGCGAGTATCGAGCTCTCCGCGATCGAACCTTCCCGCTGAAAGTACCGAAATGTTTCAAAGTACTAAGAGGATTACGCGGCCGGCTAAACCTCGGGAACGAGAACTATTAATTGGAAATCAATCAGACGGTACGCGATGCCCTCTTCGTCTCAATCGAAGACGTGCGATCGCGGCTCCGGAGGAGGTATCGCTTTTCCGCCATCTTGGAGCGCCTTTCGCGGCTGAAATACTTTTTCCAGTTTTAAAGGGAATGTTTTCTTTTTTCTCTCTCTGACCTACTCTACCCACGACGACCAAAGAAGACGACGGCAAGTATCGAACTCGGAGCGTATCGAACGCCGCCGCGAGAGTATCGAAATGTATTGAAGTACTAAGAGGATTACGCCGGCAGCTAGACCGCGGGAACGAGAACGAAAAGGAACAATTACGGCCCTGCTCGACGTTGAACGTTGTTAATTGAGAATTAATCCACCGGAAGAAGTCAACAAGTGGACGGCCCCAACGGTTGGCGGTTGATTTAGCGTTAGAATTATTTATACCCTCTTATCGGATGACCAATGCGTTGTCGGGTGGACGGAGCGAGAGGACTCCATCATTCAGGATGCTGAACTGGACGAGCCATGGCTTTTGGAAATTAAATCCACACCGAAGATAGTGCTTGAGCAGCGAGCTTAAACCGCTGCAGATTTCCAGTCCCGAGAGTTAATACTGCACAGAGCCGTTTGAGAATTTGTCCTGTCAATATTTACCGCAGGACGACGGCAGAGAGTTGGGCGTTCCCGAGAAAAAGCGTCACTCCGGACTCGCCAGGTTTTTGGAAAGTTTCGCGAGGTAGATGGAAGTCAATGGACTTGCGAGCAACCAGGCAGGAAGGAATAAAGTTCGCAATTAAATTTCGGCCTCGAACGCGGACGGAACGTCGATGAGATGGTTTGGGCAAGGAGAGGGCTCTTTCGAATTGATAAATCCATATTTCAGGTACTCCATCTTCGAAGGAGTCCAGCCTCCGGCTTTCCCTTCGAAGGATTCTCGACGATCGCTCACCTTGCACCAGCTGGTCGTATGCTCCTCTCATCAGTATGTACCTATTCTTCTCATTCTGCCAGGAGATCTGAGGGGGAGGTCTCCCGGAGGCCTTGCAGACCAGGGTTGCGTTTTCGCCCTCCGTGACCGAGACCTCGCTCTCCGACGTCCCGGTGGTCAGAATGTCAGGAGCGACTGCAACAGTCGTCCCGAGGGTTAGGAAAGTTATTTACTCGGCAAAAGTCGTCCGGGATGTTTCTCGGTTCCTGGAGCGTATTTTCCCCTTCGGCCTCCCCTTTATGTTCCCCTTCGGTTTCTTGCCTCGTAGCCCTCATCGATAATGGCGCCTTATGTTACGGCCGCTCATCCCGGAGTCTGCGGTCCCGGCAAGGAAAGGGCCCGAGGTAATCCCTAAACAGAGGTCCCTAGTCCTTCGGGAGCCCGGCACTTCCCGGGGAAACCATTATTGGCCATTACCGTAGACGCCTATCGCTCTCACGCCTTTCTCCGGGCCTTTAGGGATCCGAGTCCGGTCACGGCGCCCCCGATGGATGCATAGGTGCGACTTCCGTTTAATAAACAATATATCACTTCCGGTTACCTCCGGCCCCAGGGCGCGGACGTGACTCACTTTTGTTGCGGCGCCCCTTAGGGGAAGAGGGTTTTCCATTTGCAGGTGATCGCTCCTTTCTGAAAGGAAGCGACTTTTCATCTCACGGGGGGTATCGAAAGAAAAGGACGGACCGCGGAGGGGCGGGGAGGAGATTCGCCCGGAAAGAAACTCGGTAGAGTTCCGCGCCAAATTGCATTTCGCGACGCGAGCTCCGGTGTATATATACGTCCAGGTGTATATACCTGTACTCGGGAGATTCGGTTTCAAGGGTGAACACGAATCGGAGTAATTTCCACGACGTAAGCCCGCGTTAAACGGAAGGGCGGAACAATCGTAACTATGCGCGTTAGGACGGCCTGGAAATGCTCTACATTACGCAGCGTTTATTTGTTTCCCCCCTGGAAAACTCCTGCCGTTCGCGGGACGCGTTTTCCGCATTTCTCCAACTTTAAAATTGCCCCTTTATCACTTCTCCCCCCCGGTCGGATTTGGCGGGCCCCTAAAACATCTTCCTTCCCGTTTCCTGCCCCAAAACAACCCTTCTCTTAGGCGATTCGAGATTTCCGATCTTGCAAAAATCCCTCACCCTCGAAATCCCGACTCCTCGTTCCACATCAACCAAGCGGAAGCGCGAATCGTCCGGAAATCCGCAAAGGTACCTGTTTTAATCATTCCTCCCGATTTAATATAACCTCCCGCACGCGGAAATCTAGGCTATCGGGACGGCCGCAATTAATTGCGCGGATTGATAGTATGCGGAACCGGCGGTTTCATCCGCCGATTGGGTCGAACGTATTACTGTACTGATTTGAGCAACTGCACCGAGCGTACTTGCGCCGCCGTTACGCGGGTGATTTACGCAGGCGCGTTTACACCGCGGGTTTTATCGAGTCCTTTAATCTGGAATTGAAACGAAGGTGCATATGGACAGGTAACCTCTTGCTAATGCGCGCACCAACTGGCAAGTGACAAATATGTGGAATACAGGTTGATTTATAGCGTGGCCCGTTTCTATCCGCGGCACGTTCGCGGAATGCGTGAGGCGCAATTAGACATACCTAGGACGTCAACGCAGCCCAGCTGGCTCAACATGGGCTCCGTGTTGACTTGGCACATGTAACACCCGCGGTCGCTATCTCCCAGCTGCCGGATTCTCAGCCTCCACGTTGTCTCTTCGGCCTCCCTCGAAAGGCTCTGGTTTTTCGGCCTCACGTTCTCCAGGGAAGCGGTGATTCTCGACGAATGAAGGACCGTTCGCTCACCTATTGATAGGATCGTCTGGTCCTCCGCCCTGAGCCATCCCACCTGGTGAAACCAAAAATCCGAGATATCGGTCTGATTATGACGAGGGGTTATCACTATTAACACATGAACACTGACGTGAATTCACGTCTTTTCAAGTTCTATTCCTGGTTGCCCGCTGACGTGAATTCACGTCGTTTTAAATTCTATTCCTGATTGCCGCTGACGTGAATCACGTCCATGACGATACACGATACAAGTTTGCGGCAACCAGTTTCAGAATTTCATTATTTTCCCCGGTACTCAGTATTTGAAACGGAAAAAATTTGCCGCTCGCGAATGTGTTAATGAGGATGTTAAAGTTACGTTAAAGAGGTCTCGCTTATGGAACTTTTCTCCGAATTGGGTGTACCGAATGATTTTAGAACTTCAGAACATGAATATAGAGGCTATAAAGAAGGTTCCGACATCTATGAGATTTCAATTTTTACGAAAATTTCTTTATAGATATTTTGCAAATTCTTTATAAGAAATGAAATCTCCGGAGTTTCAGGACCTACCTTAGGGTCTCCAATTCACGTTGTAAAGTTTGATACGATTCGGTACACCATACTCGGCGAATACTTTCAGCAACGATTTGACTTCTCTGATATGTATACATTGACTCTTTCATATCACCTTAACACGATTATTTTCGATATTGTGAGTGCCTTGATTAATTGGCGCTTTAAGATCTTGCTCACGATGGACTCTCATATGTGCTTTGAAAATTTGACTACAATGTATTATTGTTGTGGTTATTGCTCCGTATTGCCAAAGCCCGTAAAGTTTTAAAAAATTCTCTCGCCAACAAATGGAAAACAATATGCGGTATCCAAAAGTTTCGTTTGTCGTACTCTGTATTAAAATATACCGTTAAGAAAGGGTTAAGGACTTTAGGTGGAGTTATATCGTTTTTACAGCCAGCTCTATTGTGGAGGGTGAATATTATACATTATTAACGAGATAATGAAGATTCTTGAAGTGCGAGATAATATAGTGGTGATTTGTAAAAAAAAGAAACACTTACAGGGAAGTTATTCTAGCGTTTTGTTAAAAATCGTCATTCAGGCGGAAGCCATTATGGTGGCGTTTTATAGTTAAAGGGTTAATTCTTCTTATATTTTATTGGTAAGGTGGTCAGATGAAATTTCCGTTAATACGTTTTTGCAGAAAATTCAGATTGAAGGAAGACGATTTGGAAGGAGTCTCCTTTCACGACCAGCGAGTAATGGTCCCCCACTTGGCAGGGAATCGCATAAGTGGCCTCGATTTCTTCGGACTCGAAATTCTTGTTTCCGGGGAAGTTAAGTGGCAGCATCTACCCGATACGACCGAACGATTTCGTTTAACTCAAGTTTACTCGAAGCGAATAAAATGCAGCGGTTCTCGTGAAACGGGGAGCGAGATTTAGCCGTACATATGTATGTACACGGAAAAGAGGAAGGCACCGGAGAGCTGCAGGGGAGACTCGCAGCTTTTCCGGGGAAAATTTCGGTGGTATATGTCCCTATTTACAGATACCGCTTATCGAGAGACAAATTCGTTCGATTTCCTTTACGTTTATTTTACGGACCGGGCCCCGGTGTAACAGGCGGTCATTTACCGGGGTAATAAACATGCCGTGCTCTCGTCGGTGTACATAAATACAGAGATATTCTACAAATTCCGCAGGATGGGTGATACGCGAGATGCCCGCGGTTATTTAAGTCGCGGATATGTTCTTCCCTCGAATTAATTTCACGATTTTTACCCCATTAAACGAATTCCCAGTGATTCGGGGGCCAAGGCGGAAACGCTCGCTCCTTGAGTGGCTTATCAGAAAGACGAATGCCTTCCGTCTTGGCAGACTTCTTCACCATCGAAAACTACTTTAAATCTACTCTTTCCGCCTCGCCAGCAAACAAGAGCTGTCTTGTAGGTAACCACGTATGTGGCTTTTGGACTTTTTCCAATGATGGCGAGGCGGCCTTGAAATCTTCTCCACGTCCCTTGGGGAAGGTTAGGTGCGCGTCCTCCTCCTGGCACTCGTCTTCATCCAAATTCGGTATTACTAAAAATTGAAACGGAAATTTCTCCCGTATGTATCTCCTACTCGTCGCAGGACGTCGCATCGTGTGTTGTACTTTTTTTAATTCCATCATAATTTCCTAATTTTTCATATTTCGTCAATTGACAATCGGGTGGTTTCGGTCAGCAAGCGGTACACGGAATTTGTCAATACGCTCTGGATATAGGTGGTATATACAAGATATAGGAGTGGTACTCGCAAACAGGCCATTATTCGTGGCAGCGCGTGCACGTTGGGCTATCTATTGTCGGCTGCAGCCGGTCCGGCAACTCTTACAAACGGCACGACCGACCGAAGAAATTGCCAAGTTTTCATTGAACTTTACCACGGAGGTTTCCATGCCGCATTGTTTACATTATTGAAAACTCTCGCGAAATCCAAGGCGCCCACGCGATGGTCGAAATGGAAGAAACACCGGCCCGGTAATTATACTTCGTGGCGTGTTCATGCCCGCGAGTCAAGGACCGCATCGAATTAATATCTTTAATCCTCTCTGGTGGAAATGTTTGTCCACCAGGGGGTAATACATTTTCGTCGGGGATGAAACGACTGAACTTAACGCGCAAGTTTTCGTACCGCGGGGGTAATAACTTCATTGATTTTGAGGAAAGTTCGGTAATTAGAAGTTCCCATTCTTCTCGGCCTGCACATAACCGTAACTATGTCTGTCCCAAGTTGTCAGTAATTCCCGTGATAAAGGAATCCGAGTGGATAGGAATATAGATCATAACTTCGACTACGTGTAAAAAATGTCGGCCCATGCCCTGGTTCTCTAGTCGGATAAATCATGACGTTGCGGATGAGGAAACTATGACCATCGTGTCATTTCCAGACATGACGCGACGGTCATGCATTTATTTTTACTAGTTACTAAGGTTATTTATTCATGTCTTTAGTAAACAATTTCTGGGAAACTCATGAAACACGTTGGAAGATAAAGGCGAAGATGGATTGTCGTATTAAATCATTCTTCCTAAAATCTTCTATTTTCTTCCCTCGACCTTCTAATGTTTAAAAATTGCTTTTGCTTCCATTTGTTTAACGCTAGTGTTTTATTTACTTTCCTGTGGGCCCGGTCTCGCCCCTAAACCCAACACGATGTATTCCAAGCTCTTATTTTTACTCATCGTTAGAGTCACCCAACGGGGTGAGAAATGGGTCGTAAAAATGACTAGGATTTACAGCACCTCGGGGATGCATAGAGATCCTGAAAAAGTATGCTCTGGGGTTGTCAAATGTTTGCATAGGTCGAAACTATTTTTGGCACCGACGTTGCAAAATATGCGGCTCCGCGTCCCCGGGCAAATCTCTTTCCCCCGCGGTATGAAAGATTTCGGTTTCCCCGTTCGCGTTGTTAGATATTTTGCAGAAGCGTTCCAATTACTCGGAAGTACTTCGCATTGTGAATTCAATGTGCGATTCGTTCATCGGTTAATCTCGTGGTCGGGTTTTAAAGCGCCCCTCGTTGGGTGATTCTCTCCGCGGCGGAAGTCACCGGCACGGGGTGGGGTTTGACCCGGATTTGAAAAAAGCAAAACATCCCCAGCCTGAAAAACTCATGACTCGAAAACTTGGACCCCCTGGAGCATGAAGTTCCCCTTGACGCCGCTGGGAAATGCAAAAATCCGCCGGTCTGCATCACGGAGATGAATCGCGGGAGCGACAGCGCGTAACACCTACGCGATTGTGCCACAATAACGAAGGGAAACGGGGGATACTCCCTGAAAGTGTAACCGCGGCTATTAAAATAATAGTAGACATAATGGCCGGAGTCTCCGGCAAGTCCCCCAGGGGCGTTATCCTTAAAGCAATTCGTAACTCCGATTAGCGGTTGGCAGGCAAGCACAGCTGTTGGACAGGATCGCCCGAGCTCGCGTATGCATTTAGGATGTGGAGGCTAACTCCTCGTCCTAAGGGTTACCGCTTTCGAAGGTACCTACCTCGCCAAGGCATAAATTCACCCTCCACTTTTAACGAAACGAAAAAAAAAAAAAAAGAACCTCACGAATACCGATATATCGCTCCCGTATGCGATACTCCCTCTGCAGGTGAAAATATCCCCTTCCGAATGGCGGCTCCAAAGAAAACGGGCGACTTGGCATCGACGAGTGCCTTCCATTGTTACTTCCAAGAAATATATAAAGAGGCCGAGAAACAAAAGACCGGTAGAAGGACTTCTCTCGAAGATGAGGCTGAGATCGGCCGGTGGGTGGAACGCTCGCGACATTCGGTCGGCCCGCGGCCCCTCGGCAAACGCGCCTCCCCCGTTGCAGGACACTAGTTACCTCGAAATCCTAAGTACTTTCGGTGGACAAAGAAAACGCGGGAGGGAGGGAGGGAGGAAAAGGGTGATAAAGGGTGGTAAAGGGAGGCAAAGGGAGGCAAAGAAGGTTCCTAGGAGCCGGGGATCCCCCGGGCTCGGCGGTGACTCCGATCAGTAGGTGGCGAGGCGCGACAGCGGCGACAAAGATCGTCCTCTCCGGACCGTCAGCGCGGACGAGCGGACGAGTCGAGCGGGTCCCGGGGCGGCATCGACGTCTGACATATATTTTCCCGAATTACGAGATTCCCCGTAGGCCCGCGGATACCCATCGGCGTAATATTTCGAGAGTCCCTGGGCCACGAATCTACGTTAGCGCTAAAAGATTGCTCCCCATACCCTTTCCTGCCATCCTCCATCCCTCTCCTCTTCCGTTCCATTGTAATCATGGAAACAATCATTCTTCTCTCTCTCTCTCCCGCCTCCTCCCCGGAGTTCCTCTCGTCCCGCTCCCTCTTAGAGTCCTCGCCGCCGTTCCTCTCCGTCTCGAGCCCTCTTTGTCGCACCAACGACCACCGGCGTTGGCCGCCCTCTCGCTCGCCTCCGCAGCAATCACCGATTTGTCTGAATAAGCCCCGGGCAAGTATATGCTTATGCTCGCTACCCCGGGGAAACACCGACTCACCCTCCCGAATGTTCTCGTTCATCGATGCTTAATGGAAACGAGAGTCGGTGTTGGATCCTTCCCGCGGCCGCGCATGGTCAGGCCGTAGAGTCGTTAAGGGGGCCGCGTGCACCTACCCACCTGCCCACCAGCCCTACCTGCCCTACCTGCCCCTAACTGCTCCCGGGGGACTTCGATATGATGGATACTCTCGTATATCGGTACCGACTAATTGCTGGAATACCTTCGCTTACTTCAAGAAGTCGGCTGTCTAGTGCGCGATGAGTCCATCCTTGCACTCTTTACAATGACGATGCGATCGTCGCTCCAAAATGCGTTCGGAAGGGTTAAAATAACGTCATTTTAATTAATACTCGATCCGATGAAATTAATTAAGTCTCTTTGGTGTAAGATAAATGCGTTCAGTATGATGGATACTCTCGTATATCGGTACCGACTTATTGCTGGAATACCTTCGCTTACTTCAAGAATTTGGCTGTCTAGTGCGGGATGAGTCCACCCTTGCACTCTTTACAATGACGATGCGATCGTTACTCCAAAATTCGTTCGGAAGGGTTAAAATAACGCCATTTTGATTAATACTCGATCCGATGAAATTAATTAAGTCTCTTTGGTGTAAAATAAACGCGTTCGATATGATGGATACTCTCGTATATCGGTACCGACTAATTGTTGGGATACCTTCGCTTACTTCAAGAATTCGGCTGTCTAGTGCGGAATGAGTCCATCCTTGCGTTTCTGTACAATGACGATGCGATTGTCGCTCCAAAATGCGTTCGGAAGGGTTAAAATAACACGATTTTAATTAATACTCGATCCGATGAAATTAATTAAGTCCCTTTGGTGCAAGATAAATGCATTCTTGTATTCTTATTTATGATGACGTGAGATTATCTCTTAGAAAATGGTTCCAAAACGCGTATGAATGCGTTCCAATAGCATGGACCTGATTAATACTCGTCTCGATGAAACAGATAGCAACTAAGTCTCCCTGGTGCGGGATGAGCCCATCCTTGCAGTTTTTACAAGGATGACGCGATGGTTTCTCTAGTATCTCTTCCAGGGTGGGTCCAATATGCGTCCGAAAGGGTTCCAACGGTGCTACCCTGATCGATACTCATCCCGATACAATTGATACCGACTAACCGGCAGTTCTGCGAGAAGTTCCTCGGGGAGGAAGAGTGTAACGTCGTTTACGGACATCCAGAGAAGTGTTTACTTGGAACACGCAGAAGTTTCCACCCGGAGAACATGTTCTGAGGCAAAGTGCCATACTTGGCGCAAACTACTCAGCGCCTCGTAGCGCATCCTTTAAGCAAAGTTTTCTATTATCTTCGGAGACAAGGGTCGAATGCGTAGGGGTGGCTGTCAGGACGAATAATCGAAATATCGTTACCTTAATGAAAGACCAGGACGATGAGTCGAAGCGAACATCTCGACGCGAATTCTTCACGTAATTAAACTTCGAGTGCTTCTAAGCACCGATCGAAAAGTGAAGGAAACGAGGCTAGTTTATGTCGAATCCAGACGATCGCAAATTGGAGATCGCGCTTCCAGGACGTATGTAAGTTCGGGACGATCGGAGCTTTTAGCAGCCCCTGGTTGGCAGTAACAAAGTTTGCTCGAGAGCGAGTAGGAAGACTCGAGGAGTCTTTTTACAACTCTTCCCAGGGCCACGAGGAGCTCGAGTTCTGGAGAGTAAATGTTCGTTTAACAAGACGACATTCGGCAGGTACGACTGCAAAATGGCGCGCCCTTTGAAGCGACTGCCGGAGCCCCGAGGTAAATACACCTGATTAAAAGGCACGACTTGATACACCTGATTAAAAACGGGGCATATCGGAGAACGTCGTCGCAATCCCTGGTGACTAGCGCGATGCAATTTTACTTTTCGCAGAAATCGGAACGAGCGCTCCTGTTTCCTTCCACCCGATGGAATCGGACCGGAGTGCAGAGAACTGCAAAAAGTCTTATCGGCTATAATACTCACCCCGGATGCACTTTGCTGCAATGCCCGCAATGTTTCTCAAGAGCAAAAATCCCGGATCGCGAGGACCTGGCTTTTCTATTTTCTTTTTTCCCCCGCCCTATTACGAGAATGCACCGAACGGTGTCAGCAAACATCCGCGCACATTGGACAATGACGTTGTTGGAATACTCTCGGCCTAGAATTTGATTGTCCGCGGTAAATTCGAAGTAAGTGACCTACTCTGGGGCGCTCCATAAGGAGATATCTTCACGTCGCCATAATAACCGAGGAGTTTCAGATAACACCGGTTACGATCCTTCTTTTCGCAGTACAGGACGTTTCGAAATTCGCGGCACGAACATTGCGCGACTACAATGCTCCTATAAAATGAGAGAATGAAAAAAAGAAAAAAAAATACTGGCAAAGTAGCTCCAAAAGTCAGCTACTTCCAGTCCGTCTACGTTGACGTGTCGTGAATTTGTGAGTCCTCGCAGATCCCATTCGAGCAAAGATTTTCCAGGTTGCGGAAGCTCTTCCGATGCACGAAGCCGGAGGCTTAATAATTCAGCCCGGGGATTGAAGTCGAATCGACAGAATTCCCTCCCTAGAAGCCGTTCTTGGCCATGAGTAATCTAGGTAAGGATGCCAGTCCTTTATATTTCATAGAAGGCCCTCCTGTATTTGCTGCAACTATAAGTACTTTGGTTACAGCTGGCAGTCCCTTATGCACTTCCCAAGTATACCAGAGATAATCTCCGTCCCTTGTATTTTATAGGCTACATAAAGATTTACGGTGCATCAATTTCGTACAGTGCCTGGAAATATATTATGCAGTCAATGCGCGGGGAGTACTTATTAAGCTATCGAAAGCCTTAATGGCTTGCTTACCTTGAAGGTACCTAATCCCTTAATGGTGCACAGGAGAATAGCTTCTCTGCCACTGGCCGCCGTGACGTTACCGATTGGCCCCGCAAACGCGGGATAATCTGCAAAGTGGAAGGAAAACCTGTGAAAACCCTGCGTCGGATAAACGATGAATAATTATGGCGATTAATAATTATAATACACGTCGTATACCGTCATTAACCGGATGGAAAATGTGTCGGGGTATCGACAGAAAGCTCATTCTTGCACCGTCCTTACGCATCTTCGTGGTATTCCGAACCTTTCGAGCACGCCTTATATTAGCAAATTTTTCTCCGATACCGTCAAGTTGCCCCTCTTTTTACTTTATAAAGGAACCTGCTTTACATCGTTTTAGTCGCGAACCTCTTTTATTTCCCATCTATCAGTTTTCGACGAGGCAGGATTTTGCATCTACTCGTCCTGTAATTTCTGTCACTCAAATCGCGACGATATCCTATCAATTTCTACTCGACTGGTAGCGATGTTATAATCGAGCTAATATCGATGTTAAATGTTCTGGTTTCAGGTGACATCGCGAATTGCGCTGCATTCATCGGAACGAAATCTATCACGTCGGCGCACACGTGGATGCCAAAGGCGGACTATGTGGGGCCATAGAAAATTGTCCTACCATTTAATAAAACGAAGCCATTTGTCTCTACGAAATCCACCTGAATATTACTCCCTGGATATGGTTCATCAATAAATCTTTTACGGCTGGTCAGATTTCGGATTGCCCGCTGATAGAATACGTTTGCAATCGTTCGGTGCTTTAAAGATTTTCCTTGAAAAATGTAAGAATCTTTGTGCACTCTTTATCGATAATTTCCTAAAACATGAATCTGTTGGTCGGTGTTTAATTGTTTATTTAATTATATATATCAGAGATGTGAAGGAAGTGAGAGAAATTTTATATACATTTTCTACGAGTTAAACTTGGGATCTGCTTCAAGGCTTCTGCAATAATTGCAGCAAGCTGCAATTGTGCTTCCTCGGGTGGCTCTCAGATCGTGATACTGACGTTCTCTTTTAATTTATCCTGCAACGAGAAGAATCTCGAGTCTAGCCAAGTCGAATAAATGAGCAAATCGCGCTGCTCGCCGTCCAACTCAATTGCGAGGAGCCGAAGATCGAAAAAGTCATTCGATTTGCATACGAAATATCAGTTGGAAGCTTCTGGGGTCGCCGATTTCGAATTCAGTGTTAAGGCCCTGAAACTGCTGAGTCGAAACGGTCGCCTCTGATAAGGAAATGTATTTCATTTGCATGAAAATTTGTTTTCGAGAGTTTCGAGAGTCTCCGGATCTCCGAATCAGTCGTAGAAATTGTTATTAAATTTAACTCGAAGGATCCAAAATGGCGGCTCAACCCGTGGAGATTTATTCTCGGGAATTTCAGGTTAACAGAAGAGGAACTTGAAAATTCTTAAGCCACGGTCGTACGGGCAGAAATATTCGATCTGACTTTTTCTCACTCGGAGATGGAATCTGGGGCAGGACATCGCGGGAAATTTTCAAGAGTCCGTCAAAAGGCATCGGCGAAGAAAATCCACGTTACGGGTACACCCGGTGCAAGTGTCGGCAAGCGACATTATGATAAGATATTCACTGGGAGAAACAGGGAAAGAATGGAATTTTCAGATTTCTCGTATCCAGAATGTAATATAAGGAAAGGGCGCGGGAAAATAGCGGGATTCCTGGAGAGAAAGAGAGAGAAAGAGAAGGGGGTCGGTAATTGAAGCCTCTATAGGAGCGCGGCGGTTGTGCGCGCCTACCTATATCTAGATAGGTTTTATTTTATGGCAGAAATATTCCCGGAGAGAAAAATAATTCAATCTCGGCGACCGCTCTCGGTTAGGGCACGTTCATCCTAACTCATGCCCGGAGCTGCCGGCGTGCCCAGGAATTAAGAATGCGAGTCGCGCGAGCTTGTGTTCAACGCCGAGTATTTATTGGTGCGGCTTGTCGCGAGCAGCTCGGCTGACGGAGTTACAAAAATGACATAATAAAACGTTTCTCGGTCCCCGGGAGCCATTTTGCGCGGCAAGGAATATCGCGAGGCCGAAAACGTTGAATCCCGCCTAGGGAAAAAGGAAAAATTCCACCCGACTGGAAGTGACTTTTCGGAGTAACCGAAATATCCGAAAGTCCACTCCGCAAGGCTCGAATGCAAACATATTTCATCACTGGCATAATTATTTATAAAATCCAATTTTTCCTCCACGAGCCGTCGCAATTTCGGATATAACGCGAATCAGTTTCCATGCCAACAACCCATAGAATAAATTCCCCTGGCCTTATGTTGCCTCTCCGCCGTGTAGATCCTCATGTCCACGGCGGAGCGTATCAGATTTGCATGCACAATAAATTTCAGGTAAAATAGATTAAAATTGGAGGTCCCTCGAGCCCACCTCGTAGGACGTGGTGCAAAATCTAATTCCCATCCCTAGCTGTCGAAAACTCAAGCGGGAGATCCAGCTCTCCATTTTTCGGGAATTTCTCGCCGTGCGAGATGCGGAAGCTCCGGCGAGGCGCGGTTTCTCGCGGCGTCGAAAAATTCCCAGCAAAAGAGAGGTCTAAGGAAACAATATAACAAAGCGCTTTACCGCGTATTCCGCGGGGGTAGAATGCCTTCTTTTTTTCTGGGGCGAATTTTGAGCGACGATTTATCGGGGACTCGAGGGAGCGGGGCGAGTGCGGCTTGAATTATTCCCCGCCGGGCTGGAGCAAGTCGGACAACGCGGAATGCAAGGAGTCGCCCTGGGACTCCTCTGAATGTACCGAATGCACCGAATGCATCAAATGTACCGAGCGCACCTTGAAGCCTAATGGGAAAATAAGGCAGGAGGGACGAGGCGGCTGATAGGACCTCGGGGACAAGGAGTCGTTTCCCGGAGGATCGTTAAATTTCACCCTCGTTAAGTGGTTCCCGTAATTGCTCATATTCGGTATTAAATGCACTCGTCCCTGTAAATATTCGAATAGACGAGCACCAGACGAGTCCCGGGGAAGCTCTAGACGTGATCCCCCTTGACTCGGGGAAAAATAATTGTCAAATGGCCGGGCTGGATTATTCAGGCAATCCGCGCGTTCCGCTAAAGGGATCGCCCTGAAAATTTCAGGGGTGGTTTTTCGCGTTGGGAATTCTCGCCGCTATTCCGACCTCGTCCTGACTTTTCGCGGGAAATTCGCCCCCGCACGTGCGCCTCCGTGTTTATTCTTATTTCTGGGCATAAAGCGTATATGGAGGTCTCGCACTTATGTGGTTCGCAGGACGTGGCTCGGACGTGGAGGCGCATGTAACCGGTAGTTGGGACCAATAGTCACGTCGCAATGCGACCGTTCATAGTTTGCAGTTAGGTTTCGCTTGTTATTCACCGGCTCGAGCCGGCATTATATCCTCTCCCCCATATCGCGGGAATTTTTCTCAAAGGGGGAAAGTATTGCGGCCGCGCATCGAAGGCGGGAGCCACGTCGGCGTCGAGCTACCGAGAGATTGCATTTTAACTCGAAACTGGAGATTTCCTCCCGCAAAGCGGGAGCCACCCTAAGAAAAGTAACCCCGACAGAGGGGAAAAGTCCCTGAGAGGAACAATATCAAATAACCGACATGAAGTCGTAATACTGGAGAAACCAACTATTGGATTCCGCCTTTGCCGTGGAATCACTTTTAAGGGGAACTATTCCTCCTTTTTATTTTACGCACCTTCCCTGTTTCGCGCCTTTCCTGGACGCCAGGGGAATTAAATGATAAATCAATTCGAGATGCATAAAATTACATATTAGACCTGAGTCATTTAGTGACTCACGAATTAACGCGCAAAAGTCATCCACTAGGGTAGACGTGGTCTCGGATTAAATAGTTGTATGGTTAATCGCTATTGTCGGCGCGAAGTCGTGATATCGGCCATTGGATCGCGCCTCTGTGGTGGAATCATTTAAAGAGAACGCACCGCTCCCCTTCTTCCCTACGCGCTTTTTCTACCCCGGCTATTATTCGACGTACAAATAAATTGTCACTGTGTATGCCCGGGTACGCAGTGTTACCCTGAATGGCACGAAAAAAAAGGAGGAAAAAATCCCAGCTGGTCCGTTGATTTCAATCCGTCCCTGGTGGAGCGTGATCGGTCCTCTTTTTTCCTCAGTAGATTGCAGTCCTGCCTTCTACCGTGCCTAGAGTAAATGCAACTGCAAAATACCCCCTAAATTGCGCACAATTTTTGGCGTGTCGCTTTCGGTGCCGTACTCGCGGGTTTCGAGATTCCTCTCTCGGGGGATATAGACGACGAAATGCGAGACTTGAGCAACGAAGCGTTGCCTCCAACTAGAGGCGAATCGTTACTTCTGCATAGCGATAAGCGGAATCGTGTAGGCTATGCTAATTTGCATCTCGCGACAAAATTCAATTGTATCATAAATATGTATAATAAAAATTGTTGATACGTCATAAGCGAGCGGCCCGGGACTTGATTCACTGGTGAAAGAAGAGGGTGCCTCTTCAATTAACGGCTTTGCAAATTGACATTTAATCATAATTTTTCCAAAAGTCATTCCTATCCGGAATTCGGCGCGATTTGCATGGCGGCTATATTAGGTCGGATTAAATATTTCCAAAGCCCGTTCGATTCGATTCCGATTTCGGACTTATTGTTAGCCTAACCGAAGCGTAGGCGGTGTTAGCATATGAATGCTAGATTCTCTATTTGTGGCTTTGTGCTCGCGGCTCGATTTACATAGTTATTATGATATTATGCAGCCACGAAGAGACTTTTATCACCAATCCCGGCCTCTCAAGATGATTGGGGAAATTATGGGAGTCTGTGTGTCGTCGATGGGATTTATGGCGGTACAAGGAAATGCGCGAAAAAAAAAGCGCGACCTCGGATACCGATGATGTCTCAATACCGCTGTCCGATTTTTCCGATAATACGAAGTTGGTCAGCTCGCCGACATTCGATTCTTTATATCGAGTTCTGATAGTCTTGCCTTTCTGCTTCCTGGATTAAAAATACAGAAACACTGGCCTGGAGTAAAAGAAACTCTTTTTAAGAGTCAACTTTTCCCATCGATGCCCCCTTGTTATCCTTGTATAATTACGGCCCCATTGTCTACTCACGCGTATTATTCCCGACAATGAGTTTTACACCCCATTGTGCAAACTTTGCCGGGGCTAATAGT